GTTTTTGTTCAATATAAATGATTTTCTTTGTAATCCTATGTATTTTACTTTATATATTTAAAAACATTCTGAGAAGGGGTCCATAGGCTTCACCAGACCTCTAAAGGTCCATGACATAAACGAACTCCTGATTTAGAAGCTCACAAAGAGGAGAGAATACATATACATATATAAGCATATACCAGGCACAAAGTAGACAGGAGTCAACTTAGGTGGGAAGGCACTCATAGTTGGTAGGTCTGGGAAATGTCTCCTGTAGAAGGAAAGTGGCCTTTCACTGTATTTTTAGAGGAAACCAGAGATTCCTGGGACTTGTCAGGAGAACCTGATAGTCAGAAAGACCAAGAGGGATGAAGAATTTCTATAGCTTAGATTTCTCTCTCTTTTTTTTTAAAACAAGTCAATGATTTTTTTTATTTCTAAAAATATATTCATCATTTATATATTTTTAACATTCATTTTTAAGATTTTGAGTTCTGAATTCTCTCTCTCCCTACAGTCTCTTCCCCACCCTGTTGAGAAGGCAAGTGATAATAGAGGCAGCTAAGTGGTATGGTGGTTAGAGTGCCAAGTTTGGAGTCAAGAAGACTTGAATTAAATTCTAACCTCAGACACTTACTCACTGAAAAGGCAAGTGATAGTATATCAGTTATACACATGAAATCATGCAAAACATATTTCATATTAACTATGAGTTAGAGTTCAACATATTTACATGCACAACTTATAGAGCTTGTCTATCAGTCTATTTTTAGGACAAAGGGTAGAAACTGATGACAAAGTAGGTCTAGAGGGGAACAAGAAAAGCAGAGAAGACTGGGCAACTTTTAGGAAACTGCAAAGTTTCCTTAGTGACCCCCAAGGTTCCCAGGAAACCAAAGGTCCATCATTTTAATAGCAACATTTCACAAGTGTTGTTAAGGCAGCTAGGTTGCAGTAGTTAGAGTGCTGGACCTGGAATCAATAAGACTTCCCTTCCTGAGTTCAAATCTGGCCTCAGATACTTACTAGCTGTGTGACCCTGGACTAGTCAATTAACTCCTTTTGCCTCAGTTCCTCATCTGTAAAAATGTGCCGGAGAAGGAAATGGCAAACCACTCTAGTATCTTTGCCAAGAAAATCTCTAATGGGGTCACCAAGGGTCGGACATGACTGAAAAATGACTGAATAACAATTGGTAGTGAAATATGGAATACCTTGGTTTCAAAAGAAATAAAAATGAGTCTTAAACAATTGGCAACAAAGAAGATCTGGGCACATATGAATGAGCTGCAAATGCATAACGGACAAAGAACTCAGAAGAACAGGAGTAGGAGAAGCTATTAAGGAATTGTAGGATAGGAAGAAAAGATAGTCTCTTGATGGGGGAAGAGTGAAGGGTGACTGGTAGAGAACCAGAGTACTTCACTAAGTACCCTGCTGAAGTTGGCAGACATTGAGGAAGGTCACCAGCACACTGAGTGGGTCCTCTGTGGAGAACTGTTGGAAGGATGTAGGCACTAGTTTTATAGGATTGGGCATCCATGGATGGATGGCTAATTGCTTTGAAGGGAACTTCCAAATCAATGAAATCATAGATCTGTTTGAGCATCTGAGTATATATGTACATGTTTTCTCTCCTAGCAGAATATCAGTTCCTTGAGGACTTGTCTTGTTCTTGAGGACATAGACCCTCACTTTTGTCTTTCTATCCTCATTGTCTAGCATGGTGCCTGGCACATAATAGGCATTTAATAGATGCTTGATGGTTAATTGACAGATCCCCTCTGCTGGTAGTACGGCCCCTCCTCCCAACCTGCCAATCATCTTGTATCTATACCAGTACATGTCTTACTTGGTCAGATTATAAACTTCCTGCAGGCAGGGACAGTTCCACTTTCATCTTTGTCTCCCCAGTGCCTAGGTCAGTGCTGGGCACATAGCAGGTCCTTAATTAATGCTTGTTGATTTATATGTCTGTTGATATGTACCATAGTCAAATCAACACTGTCTTTGATCTTGGAAATATGCCATTCTATTCCTTTATGGTTCCCTATGTGTTATCTCCTATTAGAGCACAAGCTCCTTGGGGCAGGGACTGTCTTCACTGTTGTATTTGTATCCCCATTGCTTAGCACAGTGCTTGGCCACAGGAAACATTTAATAAGTACTTTTTATTCATTTAAGTTGCCTCCCTTTTTAGAAGTAAGCTGTAATGTAAGACAGGGCAGGGAGTAAAACACTTAAATGCTTTTTTCCTCCCTATTAGAATATAAGTCCCTTCAGGACTGGGGCTGTTTCCCCTTATCTATTCCCAAGGCCTAATACACTGCCAAGCACATAGTAGGAGACAGAGAAAGGACCTGGACCTGAGGTTTCCTTGGTATATAGAGAATTCTTAGATAAGGAAACTCCTTTTTACCAAAGAATGACAGCACTTTCCAGGGCACGGAGAAATGACTTTCCCATGGGTCACATAGCCAAAGTGAGTCACAGACAGGACTTGAACCCAACTTCCTGGCTCCAGTCTATCCAACATTCTACACTGTTTCTTTGCACATAGTAGGTATTTAATAAATGACTGGTTGATTTTGCATCCAAAGCTCAGTGGATAGAGTACTGGATCTGAAATGAGAGATCTGAGTTTAGATCTAAGCTAAGACTCTTAGTACCTGAGTGACCCCTGGCAAGGTACTTAACTTGTTTTCCTCATTTTCCTCCTCTAAAATGAGGATGGTAACAGCACCTACCTCTCAGCGTTCTTGGGAGGGTAAAATGAGATATTTGTTAGGCACTTTGCAAACCTTAAAGTGCTATATAAATGTGAACTCTAATGAGTTGCAGTATAGTACAGAGCTGCATTGTTACAGAATATCTGAGTTCCCTACACGGATCTGGCCAAAACGAAAAACAAACAAACAAATAAACAAAAACAAACAAACAAATAAACAAAAAACAACTCCTGATCCCTTTGAGTCTCAAAATCTGTACTTTAAAAAAAAAAGTTTTTATTGATGTCGTCTGTTTTTTACACATCATCATGTTATCCCCAGTATCCGACCCTCTCTCCCTGCCAGAGAGCTATCCCATCCTACAAGCAGTATTTTTTTATGTATGAAAATGTGAAAATTTATTATTATACAGTTTGCTTTTAAAAAATATTAAATTTTAAATTAAATTAATTTAATTTAACTTTTTTTAAAAAAAGAATAATGTCTTTTAATGTATAAAACAACACATAGGGTTACAAAGGAGACAGTTATCAAAATATTTAAAAAACAACCAGGTTAAGAACGCCTGCTTTAATTTAAAGGCACCTACTTATTCGCAGTTTCATATAGAATCCTCTTTTTTTGCTGTGATCTGTGCATGAAAATGCTCCTTTTCTGATGTTTGGGCACAGAATTTTTTTTAAAGCACTTCCTATTTGTAATGAATGAGAGATAAACCCTGACTAAAAACAAAAAATGAAATACATGACCTCTCAAAGTTTCTTCGCTATGAATTTCTCTTCTTTTTTTTTTTGGTGATTTAAAAAATTCTTTTTTCTTTTTTAAAATTAATTAATTTTTATTTTTCAACATTCACTTCCACAAGATTTTGAGTTCCAAATTTTCTCCCCATCTCTTACCTCCCCCCACCCCAAGACGGTTTGCATTCTGAATATTCCTTCCCCTAGTCTGCCCTCCCTCCTATCTCCCCCTCCTTCTCTTATACCCTTAGTCTCTTCACTTATTTTCCTGTAGGGCAGGATAGATTTTTACACCCCATTGCCTGTATATCTTATTTCCCAGTTCAAGCAGTATTTTTTAAAGAGGAAAAATATCAGATACATTAAAAAAAAAATCCCCAAATATGTGCAACATGTAGTGCCTGTGGACCTCCCACCTCCCACCTCCACGAAGGGGGTGTCTTCTATCTCACATCTCCTGCTTGACCTTTGGAATTTTGTTATACTCACTTTTGAGTAAGTGTATGTGTGGGTGCAATTGTGCTTTGTGTTTACATTGTTGTAGTTATTGTATCTATTCTTAGCTTTGGCTATTTCACTCTATATCAGTCTATGTAGAAAATCCTGAGTAAAACACGTTCCATCTGCGCTTTAGCCTTTCCCGGGAACTGCCTCCCTCTAAAGGATGCCGGAGCATCCCCGCGCTGTTCCGCTCCGAAAACACAAGGATCAGTTCTCCGGGTTTTCCAGATGGCCGCACAGTTCTCGCTTCTTGGTTCTTATCCAGTTCCGAGTTTTGTAGCTTGCTCCAGCGGCAGGCAAGGGCGGTGGCGCGCATGCGTACGGCGACGGGGCCCGGGCGTTGCGCCGCTGGGCCCCGGCGCGCCTTCGGGTGAGAGTCCGGGCCTGGGCCTCGGAACCGTCGAGGGGGCGGGGACGACGCTGGGGGCCGGGCCCTGGGGCCTGGGGGGCGCCGGGGACCGGCTCAGGTAGCGCCTCTGGGAGGTATCCTCGGGGGACAGGGGTCCTGGCTCTGGGCGGTGGCCTGCGCAGGGTGGAGAGGAGGCGGGGAAGGAGGCGCCGGGGAAAGTGGGGGAGGGGAGGCGGAAGGACGCGAGGGGGAGGGGCTGGCCGAGGCAGACACGTGGGGGAGGGGGTAGCTGGAGCGCGCTGTCCTGGGGCGGGGGATGGGAGTGGGACTGGGTGGGGGAGGGGGAATAAAAGGGAAGGAGACCGTAGATCTCTGGTTCTGATCTTCTTAGGTGGCCAGCGCGGTGTTGTAAGAACCCTCGGTCCTGGGTTCAAATGTCAGCGCTGCCGCTTGGGAGCGCGTTGATTTAAACCCTCGAGGTCATGTAGTCCAAGCTTCTAATTTTTTATGGATGAGCAAACTGAGACCCAGATAGGTGAAGTGAATTCCTAAAGGTCACTGAGGGTAGGAAGTAGCAAAACTTAAGGTTTTAATCCACGGCCTCCGACTCCCAATTCAGCGAGGTTTCCACTCTGCCAGGCTCCTGTTTGACCTTGAGCAAGTCATTTGCCCAGTTTTTGCCTATGTTTCCTGGAAGAGTGATGGTGATCTCAGTTCCCTTCCCGGCCCAAGTCTGTGATGTTCTATGAGCTCCCCCAGGGTCTGAAGGGCGTTAAAGATGGGGCCTCTGCGTGGAAGAGTTGTCTTGAGGATTCCTCTGGTGACTTTGGAGGGGGTGGGATGATAAACTGGACATTCAGAGATGGTGGTTGGGAATTAAAGGACCTGGGTGGGGATGGCACTGGTTGTAAGCCCCTGGCTGTTTAAGGGTGGTGGGTGGAGGTGAGATTTACAAGGAAAATCAGCCCTGGCCTTTTAAAGCCTGAAAGATTATCCACTTTTAAGAGTTCTTTATGATCTCTTAAGCAATAGCTGGCATGTATAGGTGCTTTACATTTTGCAAAGTGCATTATGTGCAGTATCTTATTTGTTCCTGAAAATGACCATGTGAGGAAAGTAGCACAATTGTTTTTATCCCCATGTTATTGACCGAGAAACTTCAAAGGGGAAAGTGGCTTGCCCAGGGTTGAATAGGTGATAAATGGCAAAACTGGAACTTGGGCACAGGCCTTTTGATTCTTTTTTTTTTTTAGGCAGATGGGGCTAAGTGACTTGCCCAGGGTGACACAGCTAGTAAGTGTCAAGTGTTTGGTCTCAGGCTGGATTTGAACTCAGGTCCTCCTGACTTCAGGGCTGGTGCTCTGTCCACCTAGCTGCCCCATAATTAAGGTTTTTTTGTTTTGGTTTTTTTTTTTTTGGTGAGGCAATTGGGGTTGAGCGACTTGCCCAGAGTCACGCAGCTAGTGAGTGTTATTTGTCTGAGGCCACATTTGACCTCAGATCTTCCTGACTCTAAGGCCCGAGCTCTATCCACTGTGCCACTTAGCTGCCCCTTTTTGATTCTTTAAATCCAGTTATCTTTCTGCTGTATAATGTTGGCTTTTTTCAAGATATATATGTGTGTGTATATACACACACACACACATACTATACATAAATAATTAGAAAACAACGCAAGATAGTAAATAAGTACTCAGTTGTGAAATACAGAATATAAGTGCTAACGTTTTTCTGAGAAAAGGACAAGATTGTTTGAGTCAGAAATTCATAATACTGGAATTGAATTTTGCTCTATCCCTATTGCAATTTGATCTCTTCTTGCTGCAGACCGACGGCATGCTGACTGCCAGGCTCTGAGAGACTGTCTCGCTTCTATAGAAATGTCACACCGTGGTGGTGAGCGAGACTTCCAGACTTCAGCTCGGCGAATGGGCACCTCTCTGCTTTTCCAGCTTTCAGTACATGAACGGGAACTGGACCTGGTGTTTTTGGATCATAGCTATGCCAAGCCATGGAGTGCTCACCCAGATGCCAGCAGTGCCCGTCCAACCCGCATGCTCTTTGTCACTCCCAGGCGTCACCAGGACAGTACCATGTGAGTTTGTGGTCCTCCTCCATTAGGGTGCTGAGAGTGCCCCAACACCAGGTACCATGGTTGTTGGGTGATGGGGTATGGGGAGGGTGTTTCTGGGCATTCTGAAGGAGACTGGCTTGGGGGTTTCAGGGATTTGAGACAATTCTATGATGTCTAGCACATCAGATTAAGGCCTGGGTGTCCAACGTATGACAAAATGTGGCCTGGCTGATTCAGCCTGCCTGAGATTTTTATATTTAGAATTCTGTCGTTTAAAAAAAAAGTTTTATTGATGCCTTTTGTTTTTACATCACAGTCATTACTGGATATACCCCCACCTCCATTGAACCTCACTTGTAATAAAGAAAAATAGTTAAGCAAAAACCAACCGAAACAGTGGCCACATCTGACGTTCTGCACCTGTAGTCCCCAACTCTCTACCAAAAGGAGGGAGGTGTGTTTCATCATCTGTTCTCTGGGACCAAGATTGGTCATTGCAGTTTCTCAGCATTTGGCTTCCGTTTAGCGTCCTTTTTATTTACATTATAGTTGTCATTGTGTATATTGTTTTCCTGGTTCTACTTACTTTACTCTGTATCAGGTCACAGAAATCTATCCATCTTTCTCCTTTTTGTTGTTTCTGGTGCTATTAATAATCCATTGCATTCGAATACCATAATTCATGCAGCCATTTCTCAATTAGTAGACATTCACTGTGCACCTCATTTTTTTTGTTTACTTATATATTTTTGCTGTCACAAAAAATGTACTATGAATATTTTGGTACATATGACTGCTTGAGAGTTTTAGCAAAAAATACTTAAATAAATTGCCTAACATATGAGAACTAATAAAGAGTTCTGGATTTGGAATCACAAAACCTGGATTTACCTCCCCACCCTGTCATTTACTACCTGTTTGACATTGGGCAAGGTACTTAACTTCTCTGGGCCTCAGATATCAAATGTCAGGGTTGGATTAGATGATCTCTGAGGTTCCTTCAACCTCTAAATCTTTAATCCTAGCAGCTCATTAGAACTTAACTAATGACATTTCTGGTTATGTGGCCAGTCTCTTCCATGAAAGTTTATTCTTTTTCATGAAATTTCTGAAAATAAATCTTTTGAACCACCATCAGAGAGGTAAACCTGGAGTCAGAATTCAGATGTGGTCTGACTTAGTATATGCCATAGTTCTCAAAAATAGTTCAGCCTGTTAAAAGCCAGTTTCCTCATTGACTTTATCAAAATTAATTGATGGCTAGTACTTGTAATTAAATTTTTATAGGATGGAATTGATTAAATTGCTTTTATACTTAAGTACCAGTTATACTTCAGTAATTATTTAGAATCATTATGAGAAATTAACAGACCATAATCCACCATTGCTAATAGTACAAAATGAATATATCCTGAGCACGTGTTAAGAATTGGAAAGACTTGGACCCCCTTGGCCTTAGTGAAGGATTTATATCTTAATACCTTCATAAAGTACATATGTTTCTGTCAGAATCTGTATCCACTCAGGAGAGATATAATTGTGGAAAACAGTATTGATACTTGATTTTGGGGTTGGGGGAAATAAGTTCCAAAGGAGAGCAAAATCAGTAGATAGCTTGAAAATGAGGGTTAGAGTTAGAATGATATAGAGGAACAGAATAGGGAGAAAAATCAACTAGTTGACTGTTTGTTCTGGTGTCTGCCACAGGTCTAATGTCTGATGCTCAGCTTTGCATGTTCAGGAAATCAGTTTTACCAGTCCTTGCAGGAGAGATCAGGCTCTGGCAGTTTCAACAAAGTACTGTTTAAGGCATCAGAATGTCAATTTTTTTTTTTTTTACTATAGTGGCTCTACTCTTTCAGGGGCTTGCATAATTGTCCTAATAATAATAATTCATAATAATAATTCATAATAATCCAGGGACAACCTCCTCCCTCCCCGCCCCCCAGCTTCTTTGTGTCAAAGTATTTGTGAAAAACAAAGGAATCAGAGCAAAGGGAATTGGATAATTTTGAAGGTTGTAGAGCCAGAATTATTCCTCATTCACTATAGAATCCACATTTTTTTGGTAACCAGAATACTCATGTTTGCAAAGTTTGTTGTCTCTTTTCCTTAGCCAGTGCTTGATACACATGACAGATCTTACTGTTTGACTTTGCTTTTCTAGAGTCCTGAAGATCACCACTCTTCTGTTATGACACCATTACTTCTGGCATATTATAGTTAGTTGGATCATAGCTGATTTTACTTTATTTTTATTTTAGTTTCAATGAAATTTGAGATGGGGGGATGTTATGGGCTGGCCTAACTCAGGCCAATCCCTTGTTAATTTTAAGTTAGATATCGGAACAAAATAGGACACTCACCAGGCCTCTTCAACAGTTAGCAAAAGTAGATTTGCTTAGCCATAGCAGGAGAAGGACATTCAACAAGACTAGGCATTGAGAACACCTCCTCTTGATTCAGCCTAGGGAAAGCTCTCTTGTGTCCCCATTCAGGCATCTGAGAGTCCCTCGCAACTCCTCCTGACTGCTTTGTATTCAGGCATTGAGGACATGATGTCTGAAGTCTGCATTCTTAGTCTCCTGAAACAGTCTCTAGGAATGTTTCAGTACCTTTTTAGGAAAAACTAGCCTGACTTGCTTGGGGGGACAGGGAGAGTGGGCTAAGACATTGCTCCTGTCACAGGGAGTTTCCTGAGATTAAGGGAGCTCCTAAATATTTATCTACTATTTATGGCCCTGAAAGGGAGCACTTCTCATTCATTAAAAAACCAGAAGTTAAAATATTCATATTTACACTTGAATAATATTTGTGACTTTTGTAGTATATTTACCTTTCTAATTGTTTTGCTTTGGACAGTATTAAAATTAGTCTATTCCTTGTGCGCATACCATCAGGGCAGTGGCATGAATTGAAACTCTTCTGAATAAGAAATTTTATGTGGATGACATGCAGTTGGGTGATTGAGAACTGACTGTATGAAAGAAATATATAGACAGTTGAATGAAAATTGAGCATATGTACAAATTAAGCAAAATAGTTGTGGTCTGATTATACTTTGTTTATTTGTAGTGAGGCAGACATCCCTATTGATGTGGAAACTGTCACATCTACCCCGGTGCCACTCTATGACAACCAGAAGGCACGAAGTGTGATGAATGAGTGTGAACGCCATGTCATCTTTGCCCGGACTGATGCAGATGCTCCACCCCCACCTGAGGACTGGGAGGAGCATGTCAACAGGTAGGCCTCCTCAGGAACATTGAATCCCATGGGATGATGGTCACAGTTTCTGAATTAGTTTTCATTTTTATTATCATCTCATCCTTGCATTCTAAAACGTAAATTGAAAGCTTGTTTGCAAATAGTGCTATGTAGTTCAGGTTGAGTTAGGCAGACATTGTCCTAGGGATATGATATGGCAGACAGAATACTTGGAGTCGTAAGATTTGGGTGTAGTTCTAAGTTTGGCCATCAACTCTGTCCTCAGGCAAGTCGTTTAGTTTCTCTGAGCCTTAGTTTCTTCATCTGTAAAAATAGAAGTAGTGTTTACCTCACAAGGTGTGAGGATCAAATGAGATAATGTATGTAAAGCTTTAATACCCTTAAAATGGGGATAATTGTACTGCTCACCTCACTGAATTATGAGATCAAATGAGATAAACTATATAAAATACTCTGCAAATGGCAAAACATTATATAAACTGCTATTAAGGTAAATATACCAATTCAGATAAACATTTAGAAGACATACAGATTGTAGAATAATAAAACATTAAATTTGCATGTAAATATGTAAGATTAAGAATTTACCATCATTTAGAAGTCTAGGTGGTGAACAAATGAAGGGAATCCCACAGCCATACAAAGCAGAGCTTCGTCATTAAGTCTGGGAAGTGTGTTGGCCCTTAGAGTATTTTAGACTGTACTAAGGAAAGCAGTCTGTAAACTTTTTCAGAATCTCAAAGTTGGAAGGGACCTTATAGATCCTCTAGTGACTAGATTCTAATCTAACCCTAAATGAACAGAATATCCCCTACAGCATAATCTGACTAGGGATTATCTAGTTTTTGCTTGAAAAACCTGCAATGAGGGGGAATACTCTTTCTTCCAAGACCTCCAGTATCAAATACAAACTCCTCTGTTTGGCACTTAAAGGACTTCACCATCTGACTTCAGCCTCCCTTTCCAAACTTAATACATGTTACTTACCTTCGTGAATTCTATGTTCTAACCAAACTAGTCTACTTGCTGTTCCCCACATGTGAACATTCTGTCTCCTGCCTCTGTGCCTTTAGGCTGTTTGTTTGCCATGCTTAGAATGCCCTCCCCCAATTCCTCAAAGTCCAACTCAAGTGGCATCCTAAATGAGGCCCTTCTTCATTCCCCAGTAGCTAGTACCTCCACCTTGAAATTTAGTATTTAATTAATTTAGTAATTAATTTTGTGTATATCAATCATTCTATTTATCTATGTGTGTATAAGAATTCAAAAGTATTATAAATATACACATGCTTACGTATATACACACATAGGTATACATATAAGCATGTATGTATATATGCATGTTTTTTCCCTCACTAGAATGAAAACCTTTTAAAAAAAATTTGTTAATTAATTTATTTTGATTTATCAACAGTCATTTCCACAAGCATTTGAGTTTAAAATTTTTCTCCCTCTCCTTCACCTCCCTCCCCATAACGGCTCTCAATCTGATATAGCCTATACATATACATTCCTATTAAACATATTTTCACATTAGTGATGTTATAAGGAAGAATTAGAACCAATAGGAGGAACCACCAGCAAGAAGAAACAACAAAACAGAAGAAAAAAAATAGCAAATAGTATGCTTTGATCTGCATAGAATAAAAACTTCTTGAGGCACTAATTTGTTTTTGTCTTTGTATTCTCATTTCCTAGCAGAGTGCCTGGCATGTAGTGGATACTTAATAAATATTTGTTGAATGAATATTTATTCTCCTCCCTTTCTTCCCTTCCCCAATCTTGTCCTCTCCAAACTAAACATTCTTAGTTCTTTCTTCTAATTCTCATATGCCATGGACTCAGGGCACTTCCCAATACTTTGAATGCTTACCAGTTTATCAAAGTTTTTCCTAAAATGTGGTGCCTCAAACTAAAAAATATTCCATATATGGTCTGAGCGGGTCAGAATACAGTGGTTCTAATGCCTTCTTGGTTCTGGTCATCATGCTTCTTGTTGCAGCCTAATGTTATATTAGATTACATGGAATTGCTATGGCACATTTTGGACTCATATTGAGCTTGTAGTCTACTAAAATGTATAGATTTTTTTTCAATAAACTGTTGGCTAGCTGTCTTTCCTCCATCAAATTCTTGTGAAGTTAACTTTTTGAACACTAACATAAGACTTGCATGAAAGTTACTTGAATGTAAATTTAACTCCATTTCATTTTAGTTTTTTTTCCTACATGTTAGCTTGCTTTTCCTTCTTCCTTGAGCAGTGGTTGTATTTCCTTTTGAACTTCTGTTTTCTTTTGTGCATTTAAAAAAATGCTTTAATAGACCACTTTTTTTTGTCATCACTATTGCTTCTTCCCACTACCCCTTTCTCCCTAAATAAATATAGAGGAAAAAAGAGTTGGAATATAGATATTGGAGAAGAAAAAAACTCAAATACTTAGAAATGTTCCTTCTAAAGAACACTTGTAATCAATAACCAGTCAAGCAAATCAAATCCACCCAGTGGCCATATCCTAAAATATATGTCTCTTTTTGCACCTTGAATCTGTCCTGTCTCAGTCAGGAGGTGGGTAACATGCTTCATTATAGGTCCTCGGCAGACTTGATTGGGTATTGCATCAGAGTTCTTAGATCTTTTAAAGTTGTCTTTACAGTAGTGTCATTGTATAAATTGTTCTGATTATGCTTGCTTCTCTCTGCATCAGTTCATATAGATCTTCCTAGATTTCTCTGAAACCATTGCTTTCATTCTTCCATTATATTCATATACCATAATTTGTTCAGTCATTTCCTAATTGCTGCATATCCCCTTAGTTTCAGTTCTTTGCCTCTACAAAAATAACTGCTATAAATATTCTTGTACATATGGGTCCTTTTTCTCTTTCTTTGATGTGTTTGGAGAATAGGCCTCGTAGTGGTGTCACTAGGTCAAAGGCACAATTTAGTGACCTTTTGGTCATAGTTCCAAATAGCTTACCAGAATGGCTGGACCAACTCACAGTTCCATCAACAGTGCTTTATTGTATTCATCATTCAGTAAATACTCAAAATGGTTTGTGAGCAAGCTGTCTTGTTGTAGACTGTCTCAGTCCTTCAATACAATGTTTACACAATTCAGCAAGTTGTTAATTTGTTCCTTCTAAATAGACAAGGAAAGGTTCCATTTCACAAGGAACATTTTTGTTACGTGATTGTCCATCCTCAAGCACTTGCTGTTCTTCAGCTAAAATTTAAATGTTTCTGCTTGATGAGATAATTCAGTTCCATATATTTGGAGCTTATTCAGGGGAATACATGTTGACCAGAGTTGTTAATAGAGTACCCTCAGTGGCATTTCATTGTTAGAACTGGACCAAAACATAGTTATTACAGTATTAAACTACATGTAAGGGTGCAAGGAATAAGGATTTATTAAGTGCCCGCTATCTACCAGACACTTCCCTACCTAAGAACTTTCCAGTTATCTCATTTAATCTTCACAGCAATCCTATGAGATAGGTGCTGTTTTTAGCAATATTTTTTACAGTTATGGAAACTGAGTTAGACAGTGTTTAAATGACTATTCCAGAGTTACATAGCTAGTCAGTATCGGAGGCTGGATTTGAACTTGAGTCTTCCTTACTCTAGGCCCAGTGCTCTATTCACTGTGCCACCTCATTGCCTTTAATTATAATTCATCTTATAGCTAAAGAAGAGCACAGGAGCTATAGAAACATCAGAAAGGCAAGATAAATTAAGAAATAATCACATGACACTTTAATAGGTTTACTAGTTGAACCTCTATATTTACTTGAATATAAGTCATAGTAACAAAGTCAGAATATATACTGAACATTGTTTCTTAAGATTTTGCATACCTCATTTTAATTTTGAAATTCCTTAAGAATTGGGTGTGTGTGAGAAGCATATGTTCTAGCTATGAGTGTGCCTTTATATTTATAAGGCTGAATAAAATAGAAACATCTCATATTGGGTGATTGAATCCTTGAGATATCCACCCCGCCCCCCCCCCCTTTTTTTTTTTTTTTTTTTTTTTTTTAAGCAAAGGGATTTAATAGATTCCAGGAGACTTATAATTTTGTAAATGTTCAAGCATAGGTATTTTAAAATTTCCTAAGGAAGAGAGAATTAATTGACCATGACAGTGTCTGTGTCTCCTAGGATTTTAAGTCTTTTAGGTATTTTCACATAAAATAAACTGAGTGATGTGATACCAAAGGATGCATTGCCATACTCACTAATTTAAAGCATCTCCAGGACTGAGAGTGTGGGAATTGGCATAGGGCAGAGGTCAGCATAAACAATGAATACTCCCTCCTCCCCTCTCCCCCCCGAATGTCTCATCTGGGCTTACTCAAAGCTTGAGGGAAGATATGCTCCTAGTCTTGGTGTCTGGTCTGAGAAATCAAGAAGAGACATTATTTCCCTGTTTAAAATCGAATTGGTGGGGAACATTTGGGAGGGAAGCCAGTTCAGTTCACCGCAGTCACCATCAGCAAAGCCCAGTGAGGCTTATCCTACCGTACAGACTTGTAGTTAAAATTCTGTCTCCTCTTTTAAAATTTATTTAATTATATCTCTCAGGCACTGTTTATCTTGATCCTTGGGTTAGATCATATTTTTCTTATTCCATTTTAATTTTTTAGACCTCCCATAGAGCTGACACAAAACATTGAACAGTTATCTTAGTTCTTGGAACCAGTTTGGCATGCATCCAGCAACAACCTTAAAATCTTTTCTTGGTTTTTGGCATGTCAGCATTGTGGCTTTTAATATGATCTCAGCTGTCATCAGAGTATGATAGTAATTTCTAGGTACTTGGGTTTTTTTTCTTCTCCAATGTCTGCATCATTTCCATCCCTTACCAATTTGGGTTTCAGAATAAATATAATAATGAGAAAAGCAGATAAGGAAAACATCCTGTCATATAATAAATGGTAAGATAAATTGAAAACTATATTTTGTAGCATCTTAAAGAAATATCAGATTCTAGTTCTCTGTTTTTGAAAGGAAGTTTGTACCAAATTCGGAAATGTGAAGTGGTGAGAGTTATCTCAAGGAAAATGGCATATCTTATAACCTTAGACAGAAGACCTGTGTTCAAGTCTTGCCTCTGATGCATATTAGCTTATTGGCCATGTAACTCTGGGCATATTACTTTACTTCTCAGTGTCCCAGGCAATTCACTATATGAGGTTACAGAATTAATTACCAAAGCAGTGAACTAGTGCCAGCTCCTTTACATGTTATCAGGCTTCATAGTTTCTAGATTTTAGCAAACCCCTATTGAAAAATGGTTTTATGCTTGTCTACTTTGGTAAAAACCTTAAATGAGTGGTCATCAAAAGGTTAAAAAATCACAAATAGTGATAAAAATAATACAGTCTACTTGAATACAAAATAAAGAAAGGAAGCAAATGGCTTTCCAGAATGACTTGAACCAATTCACAGATCCACCCGTAATATACTGGTGTTCTTGTTCTCCTACATCACCTCCAACAATTGTCACTTTTTTCTTTTGTTATCTTTGCCCACCTGGTGACCATAAGATGGAACCTGAGTTGTTTTAATTTGAATTTCCCTTATTTGTAATTTGGATTAATTTTTTTCATATAGTTGTTTTTTCATATAGCTTGTTTTTTTCCCTCTGATAACTGCTTGCTTATATCCTTTGACCTTTTATCTTTTGGATAATGGCTCTTGTTCTTATTTTTAAAATTGGTTCCTATATATCTAGAAGCTTCTAGTTTATGTAGTGGAAAAAATGTTGAACTTGGAGCCAAAAGAACTAAGTTTGAATCTTGCCTCAGTTTCTTCATCTGTAAAATGGGGGATAATAGTAACACTGCTTCACAGAGTTGTTGTAAGAATCAAAAATAATAGCACCTACAGGACAGGATTGTTGTGAGGATTAAATAAGATGATCTTTGTAAAGCACTTAACATAGTGCCTAGCATGTAGTAGGAGCTTAATAAATGCTTGTTTCTTTCCTTCATTCTGTGCAATCAAGAAGCTTAAATTTTATTGCGGGAAATAGCATACGCAAACATAGGTATAGGCAGGAAATACACTCAGTAAATATAAAGTATATATATGAAGTAAATACACAGTTACTTGGAAACAGCATTAATTGCTGTGGAGATCAGGAGCTGCAAATACACTTTCACTGATGGTATAATGAAGAGAATAACTTTAACTTAAATGACTAGCTTTGATTTTATGAGCATAAGCAGAAATAGAGTTGATGACTTTTCTCTTGACTTAGGTTGTGGTGTATAATGAGAGACTGGCATAGTGGAAAGAATACTGATATAGGATCATAATCAGACAAACAGATGTTCAACTCTTGACAATAGCTATTTAACCTTGGGTGAATCACTTAATCCTCTGTCTTGTTTCTCCTTCCATAAAATGGGATTATAATCCCTTCATTATGTACCTCACTGGGCTGTTAATGAGGAAAATGATTTGCAAACCTTAAAAAATACTTTATATATTTGAGTCATAATTACCATAATTATTATTCATATAACTTGTGCTGAGAAAGGGATGGGATTTCCTGTGGGTTGAGTCAGCTGGGGTTACTTGTCTTCCACTTGTGTCCTCAGCCCATTCTCCTCCTGTTTCTTATCAGCTTATCTTCTTAAATCATCCTCTTGTTTTCTGGTATCTTTAATCTTTCCCAACTATTGGCTTTTTTCTTGCTGCCTATGAACATGCCCAGATCTCTCTCATCAATTAAAAAAAAAAACACCCTTAAGCTATCATTTTATATCTCTTCTGCCTTTATAGAAAAAACTGTTTACATCCATTGCTTCTTTTTCCTTTTCTCCTACCGTTCAGCCCTTTGAAACCTGGCTTCTGACCTCTCCACTTCACTGAAACTACTTTTTCCAATCTCTTAATTGCTAAATCTGATGGCCTGTTTTTGATCCTCATCTTTTCATCTTTCTTGAACACTCTGTAGTATTTGATACTATTGACCACGTCTTCCTGGATGCTTTCTCTTCACTGGGTTTTTATGACATGTTCTCTTTTAGTTCTCCTAGTTGTATGAATCCTCCTCTGTTTTTTTATTGAATTATCATGCATATCCTTCCCTCCTCCCAGTTGTATGTGTGTGTCCTAAGACTTTGTTTTGGGCATTCTTCTCTTTTTATATTCTTTCTTGGTGACCTCTTCAGTTCCAGTTTTCGTTTCTAGGCAGATAATTTCCAAAGTTACATGTCTCACATGTCTTCTGAGATTCAGTGTCACAATTCCCTGCTGGATGCCTTGGCTATCCCATAGGGTCTACAAACTCAGCAGATCCCAATCAGACCTTATTATCTTTCTCTCTAAAGCATCTAAACATACCCTTCCTCCTGACCTCCCTGTTTTTCTCAAGAGCACCACCATCCTTCTAATTGTTCAGTTCAGTGTCATAGTCATCCTTTGTTCTTCACTCTCCTCAGCCTTGCGGCCCCCTGCCCCCCAATCCAGTCAGTTGCCAAGTCAGACTTACTGTTTTTTACAACATCTCCTGAATCTATTCCCTTCTTTCTACTTACTTGATCACTGTTTTGTTTCAGGCCCTCATCACCTTAATGCATTTGATATTTCAGTAGTCTCCCAACTGTTCTTCCTGTCTCAGGTCTTTTCCTTCAAATATGTCCTCTACACAGCTGCCAAATCTATATTCCTAAAGCACAAGATTGACCATGTCACTCCTCTGGCTCCCTATTACATGTAGAATAAAATAAAATTTCTTTGTTTAGTGTTTGAAGCTCACCACAGTCTGCTTCCCACCTATCTTTCCAGACTTACTTCAGATTAGTCTCCTTGTCATACTCTGTATTTCAGCCAAACAGGCTTACTTACTATTTGTTCCCCATGCACAACATTCCATCTCCTATTCCTGTCCCTTTTTGCATAGACTTTCCTCCATGCCTGGAATGATCTCCCTATTCACCTCCACTATTTGAAATCCCTAGCTTCCTTCAAGGATTAGCTTCTCCTATCCTGTGGTACTCCTTTCTTGATCCCCTTGTTAGTTTATTCTCCTTTCTCTTCAAATTATCATGAATATGCTTATCTTTTATATCTTCTATTCCCTCAATAGATTTTAAGTTTCTTGAAGGTAGGGACTGTTTTTTCTTTTGTATTCACATCCCCAGTGTCCAGCATAGTACTTTATACACAGCAGGTGCTTAATAAGTGCTTGTTGGATTATATGCCATTTCTAATTATACAGTCTTATAGTGGAAACGGGTTATTATGTTATCAGGTCATCTTTAAAGAGTGTAGAGAGACCATAGAAATCTGACTTTAACTTTTTGCAATTTCTTCTCCAGGACTGGTTGGACAATTGCCCAGAACAAACTATTCAACAAGATTCTCAAAGCCTTGCAGTCTGATCGGCTGGCCCGGCTAGCCAATGAAGGGGTAAGTTTGATAGGCTGAGCCCTATATACTTTTAACACCTTTCAATTACTACTGACAGTAGCTAAGGTGGAATTTTAAAAAGCTTGCTCCTCATTATTATTTTTTGGTTCTCAAAACTTTTTGAGCATTTCTTATCTTTTATAGGGTGAGATGAACAAGGTGTGACATCCCCATCCAGACTTTATAGAGCCATGCCCTTAGGGTTGGTTAATAAAATTTAATGGTTCCCTTCACCTCTTTATATCTGTAACTCACAGTATTGTCTTCTAGGCTTGCAATGAACCCGTGCTGCGGCGAATTGCTGTGGATAAGTGTGCAAGGAGAGTTCGTCAGGCACTGGCAAGTGTGACTTGGGACATTAAACTTGTCCAGTGGTTGCATACAACATTGGTGGAAACCCTGAGCCTACCTATGTTAGCAGCATACCTTGATGCATTGCAGACATTGAAAGGGAAGGTAAGGATACTAATTTGGTTTGCTTCACTACTGGAAGCAGAGATCACTGGTCTGTGTACTAAAGAGTTAGGGGTAGTCTCTGCCCGGTTGTGCTATTTGAATGGTCATAAAGAGAGCTTTAGGTAAATGAGAAAAGGAAGGATTTTTGTCCAGAGTAGGAAAGAAATTGAGGGGAAAAAGCCTTCCCTTTATATGTGCCTCTCCTTATTTCCTGTTTTCTTTTCACTTAATTGTTTCTGTCATTTTTGCCTCTAGAATGAGGTGTAGGTGTTGAAAATTGTCATGTGTTTTTCAGCTTTTAAAAACCCAGACTTGTCACCCTTGAGGTAAGGTGAATGTGATGAAAATTAGGTTCCTTCAGAGGAGATGAAATATTTACTAGGGAGAAATACCAGGCAGGCAGATATTGTTAAATAGGGCTTTCTGACCTTAGGCTGCAATATATGAGCATAATAAAAAAAAATACAGTAATAGCCTGCATTATCAGAAAATGAGCTAGTCTTTATAAGTGAGTTTTCACGTAACTGGTGTTCCCCTTTAAGGGGTCCCCTTTTGAAAAAAATGGATATTTTCTAAAATGTAGTTCCCTGTATTCAATAGATTTTTAAAAATTTTGAAGTTTTACAAAGTTATTTTTCAAAGACAAAGTAATTTTAGAATTTATGTAAAATAAGTTTAATGCCTTTTGTCATTTCTAGATTATAACCCCACCCACTGAGACTTCCTTTGCAACAAAGAAATAACTAAGACAAAGGGAATGAATCTCAAGAGTGTTTGAAATAGTCTTCTACCTCTCTACCAAAAGGAGGGAGATGCATTTTGTCTGTTGTTCTCCTTTATCAAAATTATTTCCCTGTCTTTTGAACATAGTTTATTGCTTATTTTAATTTTTTCCCTATTGCTTTCTTTTTTAAAATTCTAAACTTTAAACACAGAAAAGTATTTCCATATACACCGTAGAACACAAAAATAGGATTCTGTATGAAACTGTGAATCTTCATTTTGTGCTATTTGCATTCTTTGAAAAGTAAATAATAAATTCTACCCAGTGCCTTCTTGATGCATATATTCATTTAACACACTCCAAATATTTACTATGTATGGGGACTGTGCTAGGCCTTGGGAATTCAAAAATAAGATAAGGCCTTTGCCCTCAGGGAGTTTATGGTTTTATAGAGGAGACATGTTTACAGATAAGCTCAATACCAGGCAGTTTTTGATAAATAGTACAAGTATGTGGTGCTAAAGGAATTGGATGAAGAGGTTGAAGACTTCTTCATATAGTGATCAGGGCAGGGTAGCATTTGAATTGGGCCTTAAAGGATAGGTAGCAGTTTGAGAGAGAGAGGTGGTGCGTTGTGTGTGACTAAGGTGCAGTCTGGGCAAGGAGAATGATGTGAAATTGAAATGGAAGGACTCTTGTGGACAATGAATATATCACTTTGGCTATGACATCAGGTTTATGTAGGGAAAGAGTAGGAAAAAAGCCTGGAAGGATCATGGAAGACCTTGAAGTGGCCATTTGACTCTTTGGGGATAATGCAGCTGTCAGTGATGAATCTCAGTCGCTGTTGTGTACTCTGATGTTAGGAGGCTGTCTGAGGATTGGAAACTTTTTTGTTCCTTCAGTAGTTGGTGCCAGTGCCTTTTGTATTTTTTTTTCCTATTTCTTTCACTGTTAGGCTGTTAGCTGTCAACTTACTGTTTAGTGTTACCATCCTTATTTTGGGCAAAGCTGCTCAATCCTCTTAAGTTGTTGGTTCTAATCTTTATGGCCTGACAGAGCAGATAACAAAGAATATTCGGAGCTCTACTGTGAATAATTCATGTGAACTTGAATTTATGGATTGTTACCTGTGGTTTGATTTCCTTAGAGGCCTTTTCCCTTTTTTATTTTATTTTTTTGTTTTTTAATTCTTTTTTGCTCTATTGTAGGTAGTTGATAGTGCTGGATAAATAATTTCTTAAAAGTTAAGTATCTCTGACTTTGGAATCAAGACCTCACAGTTCAAATTGTGCACCTGTCACTACCTATGTGACCTTGGGCAAATCATTTAACCTCTGTATTATTGTTTGGTAAAATGAATGTGTTTAACTAGATGGCTTCCAAAAACCTTTCCAGCTTGGTATGTATGATCCTATCCGTCAATCAACAACTATTTATTAAGCTTCTGCTGTGTGACACAAATTGTGCTTGTTGCTGGGGATGCACATCCAAAGAATGGAACAGTTTCTCCTCTCAGGGAGTTTAAGTTCTCTTCGGGGATACCATAAATATTTATAAGCATATACAAAATAAAAATATGCAGAGTAAGTACAGGATATCCAGAAAATCTTAGAGCAGTTTTAAGCTTTGATAGTTTAAAGCTGCATTAAGACTGTGGGGACACCCTATATAAACATAAATAAAATGTAGTTAAGGTAATTTAGGAGAGAGGGCACTAGCAGGATCAGGAAAGGCTTCAAGTGGAAGATAGGATATTTGAATTGTGTCTTGAAGGAAAAGAGCAAAAAAAAGTGGTGGAGGTTGAGGAATGTATGGGTAGAAGAGATGGTATTTGATTCAGTTTTTCTTGAGCTTAGTTGTTAGCAGAAAGATAAGCAAATAAGGTTTGCTGTCCAGATTGGGATCTAGTGTGGGTAGGGAAGAGAAATAGGATGGGATAGATTACTCACAGCTGCTTCAGTAAACATCTTTTCTGTGATCTGATCTACAGACACTGACCTCCCAACTCAGCTTTGCCCCAAGGCTGGTTAGTGTCACTTATTAAAGTTATTCACTTTATTAGAGTTCTACCTTGCTCTTTCAAAGTTTGAAAAAGGAATGATCAAGATTGTATCTAAGAAGATAAGAGTCATTTATCACTCCTCTGATCTTCAGGTTGCTGTACAGACTAGAGAAGAAGAAAATAAGACATTTCCATCAGATTGGCAAATTTAAAATAGAAGTCAATGTGTAAATCAGCATTGTGGTCTGTGAAACCACTTAGCTTTAATCATCTCATTATTAGTTTTTCATTAAAAGTTTACTGTCTTTATAATGCTTACTTAAAAGCTCCTTTGTCGCCTGCTTCCAAAAATCAGAAGCCTTGCATACATGATGAATGTTCTCAAAAGCAAGAGAAACACTTTGTCTTTTGACTATGTGAACTAACAGACTATAAAGAAATAGGATTGAGAGGTAGCATAGAGTAGTGGAAAGAGTTCTGAAGTTGGAGTTAGGAAGACCTGGGTTCAAATGCCATCTTAACATTTACTTTCTTTGTGACCATGATCAGGTCATTTAACCTTTCTGACCCTCAGTTGCATCATCTGTGGGCTGTCACCATCTACCTCACGTAGGCTAAGGGCAACTTTCTTATTTTACAAATGAGGAAACTGAAGCTCAGTCAGCAGGTAGTTATTAAAGTCCTTGTGTGTACCCAACACAGTGATAGGGATATAAATACAGTGACTGGAGCAATCCCTAGTCACAAAGAGCTTACATTCTAACAGGAGACAACAAGGACATAGAAATTTATTCACATTAAATGTAAAGAGAATACATACAAATAAATACAAGATAATTGAATACATAGTTTGAGAGGGAGGGCACTGGCAGTTGAGAGGGTCAAGAAAGGCTTGAAGGTGGTGCCTGAAGCAAGACAGGAATTCTGGAATTCCTGTGGAAGTGGAGAGGGAGTGCTTTCCAGGCCTAAGAGACTGCCAGTGCAAAGCCCAGAGATGGGAAAGAAAGTGTGTGAGGAAGCAAGAGAAGGTTGGCTATATCAAAGCATGTGAGACGGGGGATTGTGTATAACAAGGCTAGAGAGATGGTGCCAGATTGTGGAGCTAAGCAGAGAAGTTTATATTTGATTCTAGAGACAATAGAGAGCTACTGATGGAGTCAGGAAGCAACATGGTCAGATCTGTACTTAAGGAAAATAACTTTGGCACCAGCGTGGAGGATATACTGAAGCATAAAGAGGCTAAGGCACGGAGACCTGTTAGGAAGCTGTTGCAGTAATCTAGGCAACAAGTGAGAAGTCACATGAGATAATGTGTATAAAGCATTTAGTAAGCTTTAAAGTTCTATGTCACTAGCATTTATTATTATAAACTATGCCATGCAAGGACGGCTGCATACTGTTTGCTCCTGGAAAAGTCCTAGATTTTCAAAATGGATTAAACTTTGGCTAGATCAGAAAAAAAAGACTTCTTATTGTGGAACATATCAAGAGAGCTGAGGGAGACCCTAATCATCTTTCTAGGTTATCAGAAGTAACTAGAACAGCCTTTATGCTTTCCATGTTTGAATTTCAGGAAGACTAAACCAAAAGATTTCGTTGACTAAAAAGAAGAAGCCTTGTCATATGCTTGCTAAAATCTAAGTAACAAAGAGGGAGCTCATTTTGGGGTCTGAGAAAGCCCAAATTTACATCCATCTTTTCTGCCTGCCAGTTCTCAAAAGGCAGATCCTTGTTTATCACTCACAGGGAGTATACTTTGAATTTAGTCTTTATTTTTCTTGAGTGCTGTTGTTTTTCAGTTGTAGCTGACTTTTCATGACCCTGTTTGGGGTTTTCATGGCAAAGATTCTGGAGTGGTTTGCCATTTCCTTCTCCAGCTCATTTTACAGATGAGGAAACTGAGGCAAATAAGGTTAAGTCACTTGCCTAGGGTGATACAGCTAGTAAATGTCTGAGGCTGGAGAACTTCAGTCTTCCTGAATCCAGGCCTGGCACTCTGTCTACTGTGCCACCTACCTGCCATCTTTATTTTTGTTAGGTAGTATGTATATTAGAATACTTAGGATGTTTAGTTAAAATATTAGTGGGTTCATGGTCTTTTGGTCTTTCCTCTTCTTCCTGGTACCCTTTTTTATTTTTTATTTTCTCAGTATAGTACATGCTTAGTCAATTAGGGAGCAAAAATAGTACAATGTAAAAAAAAATCTCATGGTAAAAACTATAAAGGTACATGTATACAGTTGAATTACTTAAGTAGAAATAATATATTTATCTCTTGCTTCAAGGCTTGTGTTATAAAGGACTTTCCTTACAATCTTTTTTTTTTTTCCCCAGTTGGGGTTAAGTGACTTGCCCAGGGTCACACAGCTAGTAAGTGTCAAGTGTTTGGTCTGAGGCCAGATTTGAACTCAGGTACTCCTGACTTCAGGGCCGGTGCTCTATCCACTGCACCACCTAGCTGCCCCCCTTACAATCTTACGAAGCAAATATTAGTGTGTAGATATTATTTTCATAGGATCGTAGATTTAGACTTGGAATAGACTTAGAGGCCATGAAGTTCAGGGTTCTCCCTTGCCTCCCTTTATAGATAAAGAAACTGAGGCCCAGAGAAGTTAAATGACTTGCTTGAAGTCATCCATTTAACAAGTGTCTGAAGCAGGATTTGAACTCAGATTTTCCTGATACTGTGTCTTTTGCCTTTCCCATTCTACCTTGCTGCCTCCTGTTTTATAGATGAAGAATTCTAATAAATAAGAGTTTTTGAGAGGTTCTGACTTGTTCGTAGTTATATGACTAGAAGATGGCTGTACCAAGCTCTAGAACCTAGTCTTTGGACTCTAAAATCCAGTGTTCATTATGCCTGCATGATGCTGCTTTTCATTTAAATTTGTTTGAGTCAGCTTTAATACATCATTGGAGCTTCTGTAGTCAGTCATTGCCAGTTTCATTTCTCTTGGCTTCTGCTGCCAGGCCGGTTAAAGTCATTCTTTTATCTCTTCTGGTCACTGAGGAAGTGAGGTCCTTTCTGAATGTTTTTCAGAACACTGTTAAACTCAGACCAGATTGTACACCAGTTATTTCCTTCATATCCTATGTGGCATTACTCCTCTGATTTCTGTGAATTAGTCTTTTCTGGGTGCACAGTTTCTGATCATTTTCCTTGAGCTTTTCTTCCTTTTCTTAACCTGTGTCAGATCATTCTGTTTTTTATTCTCCAGTTTCTTTAGTATTTTCAAAATCTTGTTTCTCTAAAAGCTGTTTACCTTTTATCTTGTCTACCATGTGAATCATTGACCTTCATGGGTGGCATGGAAATTATTACAATCCCCTTCTTCATTCCAGTCATTTTACTGCAGACATTAGCATAGCTGGAGCCTACATTTATATAGATATAAGGCCACCTTTTGAGTTTACACTAAAATAGGCTACAGTTGAAACCATAATATGTGTTTGAGAGTAGGCCGTTTTACCAGAGGAGTAACAGCATTTTATGTCAGTCACAGGCTGTAGCTAGTGGTCTACATACTTTGTTCCTAAGGGAGGCCTAGGTGCAGGTAACATTAGATTAAAAAGTCTGAGAAGCTGAGGTTTGTTTCGGACAGCAGGGCTTCAGCTTCCTCTCAGCTGGTGAGAGGCCTCCCACTTACACAATACTAACGTTTCTTTTTGGTCTTTTCTTTTAGATACCAACTTTGATTGACCGGATGCTGATGTCATCTACCACAAAGACTGGTGCGGCAGGAGCTGAAGCCTTGTCTCTCCTGCTCAAAAGGCCCTGGGATCCTGCTGTAGGAGTGCTTTCTCATAACAAACCAGTAAGCTGGACCACGAGTTACTTATTTTTAAAGTTTTATTGATGCCTTTTGTTTTCTTACACTGCAGTCATTTCCCATTAATCCTCCCTCCATGGCCATCACTTCCTCCTCAGTCCTCTTGTACCAAATAAAATAAAGAAAACTGACGCAACAACTGCCCTGAGGACTTATTTTATCCTTGATAGAGCCCAGTTCTGTGGTGAGAAAATTACAAAGTTTAGATAGTAAACTTCAGAAATTGTGTCTGTATAATCTGCCTAGCAATACCATCAAATAAATTGTCCTTTTATTAAAAAGGGGGAAAATGGAGACCTTGAGACTTGAAAGAGCAGCAACTTTTACTTATCTGTGAATGGGTGGGGTTCTTTCTCCTTAGAGCAAGCTCCCTGGATCTCCACTGATTCTCATAGCCTCCTCTGGTCCCTCGAGCTCCATGTTCCCTACCTCTCGAAGACACCGATTTTGGCAGTCACAGCTTTCCTGCTTGGGCAAGGTATATGCTGGAAATGATGACCTTGCAAATAAGATCTTTGAAGAATAAAGCAGAAAAAGGCGGATGGTGGGGGGTGGGGGGGAGATGAAAAATGCTTTTGATGATAGCTATTTTCTAGAAATCTGGACTTAATGGGGGCTTCTACTTTGCTTTCATGTGGAAATAGAAATAGTGCTAATGAAAGATTGTTGAGATTTAGGTTAGGATTTGGCTAGGCTTTGAGAAGAATTAAAGAAGGAGCATCAAAACTTGCATTTGTATATAGTCTTTATTACTGTGGTGCCCTCATTTTCTGTAGGTCATCCCAATTGCCACCCATCTCCTAAACAATGGGAGTGGAGTAGGAGTTCTTCAGTGTCTTGAGCACATGATTGGGGCTGTTCGAGGCAAAGTACTAGAGGTAAGAATATTCTTTCTCTCTGCAGTAGCATGATGGCAGGCCTTGGGATGTCTCTGTAACTGTCCAGGGGCTTGTCTTATTCTCTTTTTTCTCTTTTCTCTTGCAAAGATTCACAATCATTTCCCCCACAAACCTATCATCTTGATTGGCTGGAATACAGGAGCCTTGGTGGCTTGTCACGTAAGTAACTTCTCATCCTTTTTGAGTGTCATTGTCTAAAGATTTGGGATGATTTACAGTCCTAAGGTGGAAGCTAAACTCTAAATGTTTGTCTTTGGTATGCCTGTTGGGTTGTCACCATATTCTGGCAAAATTAGGGGTATATTTACTATCTGGCATAAATTTGAATATTGGTTTTTATAGATTTGCCTGATATACTAAAAAGTTTTACCCTACAGGAATGTAAAAGAAATATAATTAGTGAAATGTATCATTTTTGAATTTGAACCCAGTATTTAGGTTGACTGAAGGAAATGATCCATCTTCTCTATATTCTCTGATCTCAGAATTAGTATAGAAGAGGAAAGGAAGTATTAAAGGAGTGTTGACGAGAAAGAGGAAGTAATGGGGGGGCCATATATTGAATTTAAGATTGAAAGAGTTTTTTTTACTTGCGGTATAGAACTCTCTTTTGGAGTTCTGATTTCATTTACAACTGGGGAAGAAGTGAGCAGGCCTGAACTTTATTCTGGGGAATTAGAAGACTGTGGAACTTATAACCTCAGTATTCTTCCAGGTTCACTTCAAGGCCAGGTCTTTGGGTTACATGACTATTTACAAAATGACACCCCTTGTATTCCTTACTATTTAATTCAGCAAGCATTTATTAAACACCTACTTTGTGAAAGATAATGCTCAATGATGTCATGACTGAAAGACATAGAGATCAGAATGGTGTTTTGGAGGTTAGGACTAATTGGTAGATTGGGTTACTTAAAGGATTCTTGGCTGGCCAAAGCTGCAAGGAGATGAGTCCTTACATCAATAATTGTATTATTTTCAGGTATCAGTGATGGAGTATGTCACTGCAGTTGTCTGCCTTGGATTTCCTCTGCTTACAGTGGATGGGCCCAGAGGGGTAAGGATAGGATTGAGATTATGGGCTAGTTATTAGAATGGGAATGGAAAGTCAGGTACCACTATAGTCTCCCTCTTATGCGCCATTCAACTACAGGAATTTTCTTACACCTATCTCCTTTTCTGTCTGGATTTCCAGGCAGGCATTTACTGAATATGTCCTACACTTAAGAAATTTCCCTAGTCCCATCCCCTTTTCTTTCTGGATTTCCAGGTAGGCATTTACTGAATATGTGTTATATCTCCTAAAGATTTTTCTCTTGTCAGGATGTGGATGACCCTCTCCTGGATATGAAGACTCCAGTCCTCTTTGTCATTGGCCAGAACTCCCTACAGTGTCATACTGAGGCCATGGAGGACTTTAGGGAGAAGATTCGTGCTGACAACAGCATGGTGGTAGTTGGGGGAGCTGATGACAATCTCAGGTGGGCACATTTGGGGAGTGTTTGCTGCTTGGAGTGTAAAGAGTCATGCAAGAGTAGTTCAAATGAGGTGGAAGAAAATGTCCTCTAAGTGTCCACTCTCTGGGTCTCAGTTTCCTCACACATAATGAGGAGGTTGGGCAGTTAGGTGGCCCAGTGGATAAAGTGCCAGGTCTGGAGTCAGGAAGACTTGAGTTCAGATCTGGCCTCAGACACTTACTAGCTGTGTGACCCTGGGCAAGTCACTTAACCCTGTTTGCCTCAATTTCCTTGTAGGTAAAATGATCTGGAGGAGGAAATGGCAAATCACTCTAAGTATCTTTTCCCAGAAAATCTCAAATAGGATCATGACTGTAAAAAGACTGAACAATGAGGGGTTTGGAGGAGATGCATTGCTAAAGATTGCTTTTAGCTCTCAATTCTATGATGAATGTATTAGGAGGCAGCATGGAACTGTGAGTGGGCAGAGCACTTGATTAGGAATTGGGAGTCTTGGGTTGGAGTTCCAGTTCTTCCACTACCACATGCCATCATTTCACTGTTCTGGGTCTCAGTCACCTACTCTAAATTGAGGGTGTTGGACTTGATGGGCTCTGAGGTCTCTTTCAGCTCTAGAATTTTGTGAGTGTGTCTTTTAGAGAAATTTATCCTGTTTTTTTTTTTAACATATTTCTTCTTATGCTCAGAAAATAAATCAACCCTAAAATTCTTATCTTTCAGCAGAATATTTTTTAAATGAATGATGTCATCATATGATTTCCTTCTTCCTTTCTCTTAGGATAAGCAAAGCAAAGAAGAAGTCTGAAGGCCTGACGCAGAGCATGGTGGACAGATGTGTTCAGGTAAACACAGTTGTTTTGTTCTTTTTTTTCTGTTACACTTGTCATATATTTTTGGGGTTGGTTCAGTTGAGGGATCACAAACTTCTGTATCTCACAGTACTAAGCTTTTTCTGTTGCGGCTACTGGGAAATACAAAGCATAGTCATAGGAAGAAAAAAGAAGAGAAGGAGGAAAAATAGCTTGAAGAGAAAGAAAAAAATTCAGGTGGATGAAAGTGGTAGAATACTGTCAGTTTCAGGTGCCCCTCAGGGGTCCTGTTACTTGGTTTTAGTATTTATTTGTAGACCGACTGAGAAGACTGTATTAGGCTTCACATGGGAGGGGAAAGACCAGCTCATTTTAATGTCAAAAGCAGGATGGAATTGATACTGGTTTGAAAATGTCCTTGAGATTGTACCCCAGGGTTGACACTAATTGGCACTGATAGATAGTCATTTCCTGTTTGAACCAGGATGAGATTGCAGACTTTCTGACTGGTGTGCTCACTCGTGCTGAGGGTCACAGCAGCTCCGAGCCCCGAGATCAGGATGCTGAGAAGAAGAAAAAGCCTCGTGATTCAGCCCGCCGAGATTTAGCTTTTGAACTTCCTGAACGGGGAAGCCGGCCTACCTCTCCTGCTACTAAGCTTCCTGCCTCACCTTCTGGTTCTGAGGTAATGCACCTTAAGGATAATAGCTTGTATCTGGGGACGGTGGGAAGGGAGCATGTTGGTAGAGCATATTGATAAGTTTGGTTCTCAGCAAGGTGGAAAGTGGAAAGAACACTGGATTTGGAGTTGGGGGACCTGGTTCAAATCATGGCTTTACTACTTAGGACCTGTATTATCTTGAGCAAGTTACCTAAACATTGAGACCTTAGTTTTCTCATTTGTAAAATGAAGGACTTGTATTTGTGACCTCTGGGTTCTTTTCTAGCCTTAACTCTTATCTTGTGAATCTCTTAATGCTTCAGGTTTTACAAATTCATAAAAAGAAAATTCCTGCTTGTGAATCCAAGGAGTCTCATGAAATTTCATGCTTCTGTCTTTATACCTCTCTTTATACCCATATATGGGTCATGACCTACAGTTTAAGAAGTGCTGAAGGGGTCTAGAGTGGAAAAAATTTAAGAAGCCCTGCATAGTACCTAACACTATTACTTGTTATTGTATTGAATTATTATGGTCTAGATGACATGTTTTTCTTTATCTCTCTAACCACATTTAGGATCTGTCAAGTGTGTCTAGCAGCCCCACCTCTAGTCCCAAGACCAAAATGGCTACGGTGACTTCTGCCCCTAAGTCTAGCCAAATTGGCACTGCCCAGCTATTGAAGAGACATGTACAGCGGACAGAAGCTGTCTTGACCCATAAACAGGCTCAAGGTACATATCTCAGGCCTAATGCCAAACGAGTTTCCTTCCCATCTTTTTTGTAGTTGTTCCTTAGAACTTGGGTTTCTTAAATGATTGACCTTCCTAACCATCCCCAGTGAGGCATGATTTGGGGGATATCAGTGTGCTCTCACTTCTCCTTTTTAACATTTTAAAAGAAGTTAAAGGTAGTCTTGAAATGAAAAGAAGTCACAAAGGGACAGCCTAAAGGGTGTGTCTGGAAAGTGTGGAAGGATAATCTTCCTTGCTTTGCCTAAAATGGCAGGGGTTTTGTGTGATGAACCTCATATCTTTATTGTCAGCAGGGAAAAACCATCTTCTACAGACAGCTTCCCTGAGTCACTGCTTATAAAAAGTAACTTCCCAAAGGGTGAGACCTGGAGATATTCAGATCCACTGGGCTCTTCCTTTGCTCTGTAACTTGAGAGTCATGATTTCTGTGCTAAACCCAGTAGGGATTTCTGGTGGGAAGGATTTTTTTTTTAATTAATTTATTTTGAATTATCAACAATCACTTCCATAAGCTTTTGATTTTTAAATTTTTCTCCCCTTCCCACCTCCTTCCCCAAGATGGTGTGCAATCTAATATAGGCTATACATATACATTCCTATTAAACATATTTTCACATTAGTGATGTTGTAAGTAAGAATTAGAACTAATAGGAGGAACCATCAGAAAAAGGAAACAAAACCCAACAGAAGAGAAAAAAAGTAGCAAATAGTGTGCTTGAATCTGCATTCAAATTCCATAGTTCTTTCTTTGGATGTGGATAGCATTTTCCATCATGAGTCCTTTAGAGATGTCTTAGATCCTTGTATTGCTGAGAAGGGTTAAGTCTATCAATATTAGTCATAGCACAACGTGGCTGTTACTATGTACAATGTTCTCCTGATTCTGCTCATTTCACTCAGCATCAGAGCATACAAGTCTTTCCAGGTTTTTCTGAAGTCAGACTGTTCATCATTTCTTATAGCACAATAGTATTCCATTACGTTCATATACCACAACTTGTTCAGCCATTCCCTAATTGATGGGCATCCTTTCAATTTCCAATTCTTTGCTACCACAAAAAGAGCTGCTATAAATATTTTTGTACATGTGGGTCCTTTTCCCATTTGTATGATCTCTCTGGGATATAGCCCTAGAAGTGCTATTGCTGGGTCAAAGGGTATGCACATTTTGATAGCCCTTTGGGCATAGTTCCAAATTGCTCTCCAGAATGATTGGAGCATTTCACAACTCCACCAACAATGCATTAGTGTTCCAATTTTGGTGGGAAGGATTTTTGACTGTCCTTACTTCACATTTGATTTGGGGAATTTTGAAATGTGATTGAAATGAGAAGCTTTTGATGATGTGAACACTGCAAAGAATCAGTGAAGAGGAAGAAGGAAAGTGTCAGAGAAGAAATTGCTTAAGGGAAGCTAATAATTTTCATGCTGATAATTCTGGCTCTGATTTAACCTAGATAGGGTCTGGTATTATGGGAATTGATTGTTTATCCAGGAACATCTAAAATGTTCAAATTTCCCTGGGGGGTTGAGTGCCTGGAAATAGCAGTAGTTATTTCCCGCTGTAACTTACTATACTGAACTCAGACTGCCTGTCAAACAGAATCATCTTGTCTATTTATCTAGTCTGTATTTCTTTATCTGGTGCTTAAGGGTCAGAACTCAAACCCTAGATTCCTTCAAGGTAGCCTAGAAAAAGAATGCTAACAGGGCACAAAAGAGAAAGCCATGTATGTGTGTGAATATACGGGAGAAGCTTGTGTGATAGGGTTGTTGTGTTCTGTGTCTGCTTGGTGGCTTTGTGGTTGTAGCTAAGTACCATTAAGTGGTGTTTCATTTTGTTTTCATCAAAAGGAAAGGTTGAGATGTTAGCTTTTACTCCCATTTGGACCATCATATAGGGCATAGCAATTCAGGGAATGTTTAGAGTTTGCTTGCTAATAGGCACACTTACGACATTGGTCAGTCAGGGGATCAAAATGGGGTCCAGTTGGTCACATGACCAGCTGGTCATGAGTGAGATCAGTAACCTTAGAACTTCATTAGTGATGGTTTCAGTTAGCAAGAAGTAATGAGGAGACATCTTTAGACCCCTTCCTGGCTCCCTCTCCCCTTCTTGTCTTCCTTGGCCGGCTATGATTCTGTAATTCTTTCTGATTCATTCCAGCACAGTTTGCTGCTTTTCTGAAACAAAACATGCTGGTGAGGAAAACTCTTCCTCCCGGCACCTCCTCCTGTCTCTTTGGTGAGTATCTTTCTCTTGCTTGCCTATCCCTTGCTTTCTCTACTTCTGCTGCTCAATATGCCTCTTTCATATGCAGTCTAGCATGATTCCTTACACAAAGTAGGTGCTTAATATTTGAGTTGAAATTGATTGAAGTTTAGCCTTTTCTCTCATTTGCCTTTTGTTGTGTCCCCTCTTAGTCCTTTCTTTGTGCCCCTCTCTCCATCATCCTATTTCTCTCTCAATGGATTTGTCTCTGTGGAACCCTCTTGCCTTTGTCAATGTCATGTTGCATCTCTTTTATTTTTTCTTGTTCTTTCTCCTTCTGCTCTCTTTTATTCTCTGTTTCACTTCCTTTTCCCCTTTGTATTCTCATTTTCTTGCTTTATCTGCATGACCCCCCTTTTTGTCTGCAAGCTTTTGCATATATAGAAAGGCCTGTGTTTCTGTACTGTTTGTTTTGCTTCTGCTTTCCTATTCTCATCATGGCCACTAAAGAAAGAAAACCATTTGCAAACTTTCAGAGTTTTTTTTTTTTTTTAAACCTTCCCTGTCTCTCTTCCAGTCCTTCCCATTTGAGCTAGCACATCCAGGTCTTGAATGATTCTTCTAGCTCTGATTGTGCTGTGATGGTGATCAGGAGAAAATGCTTATGGTTCCAAGCACCCCTTATGGGAGCAGCTGATACTGCCCTTTGTGCTTAAATTGGGAAGGGATGGGGTGGGACAGTCTCCTGAGAAGTTGGCAGCAAACCTAGAGGAATGAGCCAGTCTGTAGAGGCCTATGTGAAGGGAACTTTGGTGAGAGGAGAACAAGGAAGGCTTGGTCATCCTTGTAGATGAGTTTGTTTTGGATCTATTCACCAATCAATGAAGAAAGGCTGGTTTGTACGCTAGAGAGAAGCAATTTCTGAAGAAGATTTTGTGGTGTGCTTTTAACCCTGGTCTGTTTGGAACAGGAACTTTGGGAACCATATTGGAACTTCTCTAGCCTGAGGACAGAAGAGAACAATTTTTTAAATAGTGGAATTCCCTTAAATCTCCTACATTTGACAAAGGGAACCCCACAATTTTAGGGGGCTGGACAAAACTCAATGTTTACATGGAAATTTTAACTTTTAGGGGAGGATAGCCTTCTTTCTTTTGTTGAACAGGGCTAGTGGCCATATGCTGTGTGATTCCCATGTGTACTGCTGGCTTTCCTCTGGTCCTGCTCATTTCTTTGCTTGCTGTGCTTTCTGCAATGTTTAATATTCCCAAGGGAACTCTAGATTTGTGATTTGAGGGACTAATGGAATTGGAGAAGGATGAAACTGTTTCAGAGACTGGGAAATACTGCCTATATCTATTAGAGAGTCTTCTTACCACCCTAATATTCTCTTGTTGAACCCAGTGGTGGTAGGGAGAAATTACCTCCTTTTTTCTTTCTGGGCCTTCACATTTTCCAGGGCTGGGGTAGGGATGAGCAGGGATGTAGTCACATCATTCAGGATAGGACAGAGGTGTAACATGGGGTTCTAGGATCAGGGTGCTACTGTGGGGTAAAATCTGAGGGCAGGCAGCTGAAGGTAGAATTGACTTTAGTAAGCATCTTGGGTGCAATGCCTTGGACATGGACTGATCATTCAGTTTGAGTAGTGTGTATGTGTGTTGTGCATGCTTTTGCATCTCTTTGAGGCAGTGCCTTAACGGGCCCAACAGGGCCTTCCTGGATTGGAGGAGACCTCAAACTGATCTTCTTCACTTTTCAGTTCCCATCTCCTCAGACCAAGCCGAAGAAGCTGATAAAGAAGACCTTCGGGGCCAGCTGAAGCGTCAGCATCCTCCTAGCCCCCCTCCGGGCAGCAAGGCTTCCAAGCGAGCCAAGATCAAAGTGACCATTGTCTCTCATGGGGATGGAGCTGGTGGACCAAGTCTCCCATCCCAAGGAGGAAGCACAGAGGGCAAGTGTTTAGGGAAGCTGTTACTGTACTAATTGAACACTCAAAGAGAGCACAGACTGTCCCATTTGTGGTTCCTGCTTCATTCCATCTTACAAGAAGCTTATAGTAGAAGTAGACATTGGAGTACATGCTGAAGAAACCAGGGAATGTCCATTGATCTGAGATTGAAGTGATATTCTGTTAGAATGGACTTTTGAATGGACTTTTAGAGAAAATTTAGTATCACTCCCTTATTTTACTGTTAAGGAAACTAAAGCCCAGCAAAGGGAAATGGCTAACTGCTAAATTAATATTCCTAAAGGACAGATTTGATTATGTCGTTCCCCTGTTCAGGAAGCTTCATTGGCTTCCTTTACCTCTAGGATAAAATAGTGACTTTATTTGGCATTTAAAGTCCTTCAAAATCTGGGTCCAGCCTGTCTTTCTAGACTGATTTCATACTACTTCCCCTCACCCGTTCTGTGTACTAGTCAAATTGACTTGTTTGCCATTCCCGATATGTGAAATGCCATTTCCATTTTTTTTGCCTTTCCTCAGGCTCTCTCTTAGAATGTTCTCTTTCTGCCTCTTAAAATTTTTTTGTTCCCTTCAAAGCATAACTCAGGTGCCATCTACTGTCTGAAACCTTTTCCTGATCCCCTAGTTGTTAGTGTCCTCTGCCTCGGCCCCCAAAATTGCTTTGTATTTACTTTGTACGTATTTTGCACTTTACTTGTTGCCTACCTTTTTTAGAATGTAAGTTCTTTGAGGACAGGGATTTTTCATTTTTGATTTTTTTATCCTCAGTGCTTATTAGTGTCTGGTACAGGGTAGTTGCTTAATAAATACTCTTTGAATTGAATTACCCATGGTCACGTAGTTAGTAAAGGGTGGAATTGGGACTTGAAACTAGGCCTTCTGACTAGGAATCAGAAGCTCTTTATCATTAAGCCATAGCTCAGTTCAGGATGGGAATAGTGAGATCAGTCCAGGTTTCTTGTATTTTCTTAGTGCTTTGTGATTCTAAGAGGTATAGGCATGATCAAGTCAATGTGCTGAGAAGCTGTTGTTGTGCAGTTTCAGGAGGAAAGCCCATTACTGTGACTCGGGGGCAAACTGCTGTAGGTGCCAAGGAGCTAACAGGGCTGCTCACCACAGCCAAGTGAGTCTGTCTAACTTTGTTTTTTTTAAATGTCATTTCTTTTGGTCTCTTTCTGATAGATCACATAAACTGTGGCCTTAGTCATTCAAGTTTGTTTTAGACTGCTTTCATGAAGCATTTCCCTGTGGGGTAGTCCATTTTATGTTTGTATCCACATAAAGTGGAGGCACTTTTTATTTGAGGATCTTCAACCTTATTACCATTACTCATATCCTTGTTCTGATGGCCTGGCCCCCAGAGGGAGATATAGAAGTGTCCCTCATACCTTACTGATTTCTGCACTTGGCTTCATGCCCTATTGGTAGACTTTGGCTTAGGATATTGTGTAATATATAGGATGTAGGGAATTGTGAGAAGTTGAGAGTCAGGAGGCCAGAGTTATATCTCTGCTGATCTCTCTTGTGCCTCACTTGACCCCTACTTTATTCTTCTTTATCCCCGTAAGTCTGTCCCCATCAATCTGCCTTGCTGAAATTTGGAACAATTCTTCAGCTCTTTTCCTGTCTCTTCAGATCAAGTGCAGCTTCTGAAGCAGTGTCAGTGAGCCCAGCCTCTTCCTCCATTATTCCCAACAGTACTGCTCCTAGTGCCTTCCACACTCTGCAGAGCCGCTTGGTGGCCAGTGGTGGTCACTGTGTGGCAGCCTCCCCTGGCAGCACACTCCCAGGTACTTTTGTCCCACTTTGTCTTCCTGTGCTTTTTGGTGTGCTGTTGCAGGGAGGAGGGGAATGGTGGTGGTTTGGTGTGGGAGGTATCTTTTTTGACCTGGCTTATAGGTGTAGGGTTTGCATGATGCTGTCATTAGGTATTAGCCAAGGCTTCAATCATGATAAGGGAGTTAATCAGCCTTATTTCTTACTGTGAGTGATCACAGTCTACAGTTGTACCATTTGTAGAATTTTAGAGGCTGCAGGTTCCATTCATTTTTAAAAAAAAAAATTTTGGCATTTCGAACTTAAATGCAGGATTTTTAAAAAAGCCCAACATTTTTATGTATGCAGCACAACATAAAAAGAGGATTCAGAATAAAACTATGAATTTCCATTTCATACTGTTTACTTAAAAAAACCTATGTAATAAATACTACACATAATTTTCAAAGCTACCGTGATTTTCTGTGCTTCCTTCTAAGTTTCCTTTTGTTCTCTTCTGTGCACTTTTATTTATTTTTTCCTTCTCCCTCCCCACCGTGTTCTAGAGAAGGCTACCATTAGATACGTATGTGTGTGTAATACTATACTATACATACTTCTTTATATCAGTTTTTTGTCTGGATGTGGATAGCATCTTCCTTCATAGATCCATCGTAGTTGATTTGAATCAAAATGATTTAGTTATTCAAAATTGTTTTTAAAACAATATTGCTATTACTTTGTACAACGTTCTCTTGGTTGTACTCATTTCATTCTTTATTATTTCATGCAAATCTTTCCATATTTTTCTAAAATCAGCCAGCTTATTATTTCTTATAGCACAGTGCTATTCTGTTGCAATCATATACTACAACTTGTTTTGCCATTCCCCAGTTGATGTCTCGATTTCCACTTCTTTGTCACCACAAAGAGAGCTGCTATGAATATTTTAGAACCTATAAGTTCTTTTCCTTTTCCCTATTCACCTTGGGAAACAGACCTAATAAATGGTATTGCTGGGTCAAAGGGTATACCCAGTTTTTATTAACTCTTTGGGCACAATTCCAGATTGCTCTCCAAAATGGTTGGATTAGTTTACAGTTCCACCAAGATCGAATTAGTGTCCCAATTTTTCCACATCCCCTCCTTCTATCATTGTAGCCAATCTGATAGTATAAGGTGATATCTCAAAGGTGTTTTAATTTGCATTTCTGTAAGCAGTAATGATTTAGAGCATTTTTTCATATTGATGTCTTCATCGAAAAACTGCCTGTTCACATCCTTTGACCATTTGTCAGTAGGGAAATGACCTGTATTCATATAAATTTGACAAAGTTCTTTATATATTTGAGATACGAGACCTTTATCTGAGTCCATTCCCTTCTAAGAAACATTTTTACAAAGAATGGAATCACAGATGTGACCCAATAAAATACTGGGTACCAGCAAGACCAAGTATTTTTTTCCTCCTTAAAGAAGGTCCATTTGTGTATACTAGGCATGGTTGTGCAGGGGTGGGGAATCTGTGGCCTCAAGGCCCCATGTAGCTCTCTAGGTCCTCAGGTGTAGCCCTTTGACTGAATCCAAACTTCATAGAACAATCTATTTTGTAAAATTTGGACTCGGTCAAAAGGCCACACTTGAGGACCTAGAGGGCCACATGGGGCCTCAAGGTGGCAGGTTCTCCACTTCTGGTTGTGGCCTTGAGATATCACTATGGCTCTTTCCTTAGATCTTTTGCCTCTTCCAGGCTGAGGTTGGTAGCAGAAAGTCTGTTGGCAAGGATATGAATCAGGCCAGGGAGAGCCTTTATGGACTTAAAAGTTCTGTCTCATAAAATAGATTAGTTGGGGGATGAGTTTAGAGTGAGTGGGAATCCCTAATATAGGACCCCAACTTTTTTGCCATGTACCACATGAGTCTTCAGAGAAGTGTAGGGAGATAGTTAAATGCTAATAGTAAACCAGCAAACAATGATTGGCATGTTAGTTGACGATGAAAGGTGGGAAGCCTTGTGTGGGCTAAAGTGAGAGTGGCTAAGTCTTTTGCATCAGTGGTGGTCTTCTCCCAGGGTCCACATCTGCCAGCAGCCTCCTTCAGGGTCTCAGCTTCAGCCTGCAGGATATCAGCAGCAAAACTCCTACCCTCCCAGCTAGTGCTTCCCCAGGGCCAGCCACACAGGTAAGTAGTCAGCAGTCTAGAGGTCCACATTGTACTGGGATGGGCAGATTGGGGAAGGGGTTGTCCCAGTCAAGTTGGAATTGGGGTCAATAATAGTAATAACAACAATAATAAGCATTTGTGTAGTGCTTACTGTGTGCCAAGCACTTTACAGTTACTATTTTATTTGCTCTCCCAACAATCCTGATGAGGACTATGAAACTATCAATTGTTATTAGGGCTTCCCTTTATCTATTCCTTCAACCCTCTGTGGTTCTTGAAAACTCAAAGAATGTCATGAAATGATACTTCCTTCTAATACCTGGGCTTATATACCCCACAGACCACCAGTGTGAAGTTGCCTACACCTATGCAGAGCATAGGTGCCATCACCACAGGCACTGGCACCATTGTTCGTACCATTCCTGTGGCCACCACCCTCTCCTCCTTGGGTGCCACTCCTGGTGGGAAGCCTACAGCCATCCACCAACTGCTGACCAATGGGGGTCTTGCCAAGTTGGCCAGTAGCCTCCCTGGCCTGGCTCAGATTTCTAATCAAGCGGCAGGTGAGTCTCAGGACTTGTGGGAATGAGATATTGGGAGATCTCAGCTCTGTAGCCTGCCTGCTCATGTCTTATGGGTGAGGCATGACATTAAACTGAAACCCAAGAGAATTAGGAAGGGATCCTCCACTGACTTGGCTGCATGGATTTTTGTGTAACTTAAAGAGATAAACTTAGGACCAAAGGACAGAAGTTTTTGGGAAGGCAGATGTAGTCTGCTGTATGTATATAAGGAGCAGTTAGAACCGTCTTAAAACAGAATGAACTGCTTTGTGAGGGAGTATGTTTTCCATTGCTAGCAGTATTCAAACAGAAATTGAGTGAACCTGTGTCAAGGGTAGTGGAGGGGGGATTTTTGCATTGGATGGGAACTTGGACTAGATGATCTCTGAGGTCCCTTCCTTTGGTTCATCCTCTGAAGAGGTCACAAGAACACAGGCTGTTTACTGTTGCTTTCTGAACTTTGAGTAGTGGGGCACAATTAAGTTGGATAGGTGGCAGAAAGATACTGATCAGGAAGAGGAGATGGTGCTGGAAAGACCCCATTCAGTAAAGTAGGTTGTAATAATAACCTGGATCCTTTTTTTCTGTAGGCTTGAAGGCCCCAACCACTATTACAGTAACTCTGCGAGGCCAACCCAGCCGTGTCACCACACTGAGCCCAATGGGCACAGGAGCTGCCGCCTTAGAGGAGTCCACCTCTCAGGCTCTACCTTCTACCCCACAGGTGAGTTTTGCCAATGAGAAAGGTGGTCCCATGTGAGGTGGAAGGCATAGACCTGCAGGATACTCTAGCCATCTATCTAATCCATCACTCCACAGCTATAGAGGAAGGCTTTGCAGAAAATATTCTTCCTTTTTTCCATAGCATTGTAGGTCAAGAGTTTACACAGATTTAGATAGTAGTGTCCCCTTTTGAATTAAATGTAGGATAAACTTAGGAAAAAATATAAATGCTTCAAGTTAACAACCTTTTAAGTTAGCTACCTTTTCCTGGCTTATTACATATTATACCCCTTCCCGTACCCTAATTGGCCCTCTTGTTGCTCTTCACACATGGTACTCTATTTCCCAACTCTCTGTGAGCTTCGTTCTTCAGTTTCTCCTGGGTTTACTGCAGTTCCATTGCTTCTTGCTCCTTGCTTCTTCTGAAGATGTTATTATTATGACCTTCTTTATTTGATCTGATAATTACTGTGAACTTTTGATGTGAAATCTTCCAGATCATAGGATGGAGCTCAGGAAGGCTATCCACAGATTGGTGGCATCAGAAAAAAACTGGATTTAGTCTAGTCTTGACCACACTTGCTGGGAGCATGGCTCATATGGGCACTGTCCATTATTATGTACTGTGCCTGGTTTGATTATTAAATAAGCTTAGTTAGGGGGTGCTACAAGTAGTTCCATGGCTGTCAGATGACTTTAGAAGTTTTTTGTAGGCATCAGTCTTCTGAAATTCCTCTTTTGGGGGAGAAGTTGGCATAATGATTACTATTTGGCATCAGTTATGGTAGAAGAGCAGCACCCTTCACCCTTTCTAAGACCATCAATGAGAAGCCATTCTGGGAAATGTTAATGAGCTAATATAGGGAGGGATCTTAGTACTGTCAGTCAGTCAGTCCCTGTTAGGGGCCTGTTGTGTGCCAGGTGCTATGCTAGATCCTGGGGATATAGAGATAAGAACGAAACATTCCCTAAGGAGCCCCACATTCTGTTTTTGAAACAATGTATGCATATCTATGTAAATACCAGGTAATTTCAGGGTGAGGAGAGGTGCACTTGTAGCTAAACTGGGTAGGATCCAGAAAGGCCTAATGTAGGAGGTGGCACTTGAGGTGAGCTTTGAAAGAAGCCAGGAATTCTAAGAGGAGAAGATGAGAGAGAGATGCCTTTCAGGTATCAGGATGTGTAAAGACAAGGAGATGGGAAATAAAACAACAGGAAGGGCAATTAGGGTAGACTGTAGAGTGTGTGAAGGGGAATACTGTAAGCTGGGAAAAGGTAGCCTGGAGTCAGGCTGAGAAGTACTTTAAATGTTAAACTGAGGCATTGGTATTTTATTTTTGTGGCAATAGGTAAGCATTGGAGCTTTTTTTGCAGGGGAGTGATGTGGTCAGAACTGAGCTTTTAAGAATATTACTTTGTTACCTTTGGGGAGGATGAATTGAACAGCAGAGAGAATGGAGGCAGGAAGACCAATTAAACTGTTGCAGTAGCTCAGGTGAGAAGTGTGCTAAGGACCTCTGAGCTAGGGTGGTGGTTATGTGAGTGTAAAGAAGGAGATGGATGTGTGAGAGATTGTGTGAGTAGAATTGACCGGATTTGGCAACTGATTGGACGTGGTGGGGTGAGAGAGGAGGAGGATGAATCCAGGGTTCTGAACTTTGATGATGGGAAGTATGTTAGTGTCTTTGACAAAAATAGGGAAGTTTGGAGCTGGGGGTAGATTTAGGAAGAAGAGTATGTGTTTTGTTGTGGACTTGCTGAGTTTGAGATACTTATGGGCTATCCATTTGGAAATACGCAATCAACAGTAACAGTTCATGATATATGACTAGAGTACAGTAGAAACTAGGTCTGGATATATAGATCTGGAATTCCTCTGCATAGTGATGATAATTAAAACCATGGGAGCTGCCAATAGTATCAAGAGAAAGAGAGAAGAGAAGAAAATGTTCTGTACATGTTGAGCCAGAAAAGGAGAATGAGGAATAGGTACCACAGACAATTGAAGTCAGAAGGAGAGGAACGTTTTGGGGGAAACGATAAATTGTTTTTGATGTACTGAGTGAGCCTGGAGTCAAAAAGACCTGGATTCAAATCTGGCTCAGACACTTAACTAGCTAGCTCTGTGACCCTGGTAAACCACTTTAAATTCTTTCCTTCAGTTTCCTCTAATGTAAAATGGGGATAATAATAGCACCTACCTTCCTAGGGTTGTTGTCAGGATCATATGAGATAGTTGTAAAGCACTTGGTAGAATGCTTTGCACATAGTAAGTGCTATATATGTGTTAGCTTAAAAAAAAAGTTGGAGGAAATCACCTCCAGTAAATCACCAGGAAAGAGCTGTCCTAAGGGCAGACGATCCTGGGAACCTTTATATTCATTCCGTGAGTTGGGTTGTTGTTTTTTATAGAATCAGAGACTAAGTAGGGCCTCTCTGAGAACTAAATCAGAGGAAGCCTTCGATAGCAGAACTGTGCCATGATTACATGCCATGCCAACTTGAGTCCCTTGTTTTCAGGGAGCTTTTCTTTTCTTTTTCTTTTTTTTTCTTTTCTTTCTTGGTGAGGCAAGTCAGGGTTAAGTGACTTGCCCAGGGTCACACAGCTAGCAAGTGTCAAGTGTCTGAGGTTGGATTTGAACTCAGGTCCTCCTGACTCCAAAGCCAGAGCTCTATCCACTGCACCACCTAGCTTCCCTCAGGGAGCTTTTCTGATCCAATGGGTCAGCTGATTGATGGCCCAGTTTCACTCTTGCCCTAAAAAGCTGAACTGAACATAATTCCCCAGCTGGCTTTGCAGCAGAGCTCTTTCTGTCACATAACCCAAATTTCACAAAATCTGGGAGCCAGGAGATACTAAGGGTTAGTCAGGCATGTGAGTGAAGAAAAGAATACAGGTTCTGCTGGTACCCTTGATCCTTGTATCAGACCATTGTGGGCTTGGTGTTTTCTACGAATTTTAATACCTGGTGACTTGTGAACACTTGTGTACTTTGCTGCTTGCAGCCATGTATAACTCGATGTTGCATGTGGTAACTTTCTTTTTTATTGAGTAGTTAAGAAATGAATGTTGTGTGGTAGGAATGAATGTTGACTGGCAGTCAGTTTCAAGGGAAACAGGAAAAACTTTGCCTTGAGTAGGATGTGGGTTTTAGGAAGGGTCCTGCTATAGGAATCTGACTTGACTAGGTTTTTATGCTGCTTCCAAGAATGAGGCTATAGCTACTACCCTTAACTCCTGAATCCTCCACCTTACCCTTACCTTTCTTTCCTGAACTGTAGAACAAAGCCTTCTTTATTTTGGTTGGCTGAGTCTTGACTCTGTGTTTTCTTTCTTCCTCCTATAGCGATTGCCGCCAGCTCCTTGAAGGCGCCTGTGTAACATTTCCACTCTCATCGTCTGTGATGGCTGCCTTCCAACAAGCCCACAGGCACACAGACTGCTTTGTGATGTTGCCTGCCTTCTTGAAGACTTCCTTTGAGACTGTCGTCCTTGTTTGCCTGCTCAATCATCAAGGATAGGCATCTGAGTCTTATAGAGCCATGGGGCTAACCTCACTATTCAGCAAATGCAATACCATTCTCTGGGAACCGCAGATTTTGGCCTCCAGGCCACTCACTTCTCCTCTTCCCTTCCTTGCCCCACCCTCAATCCCACTTTAATGCAGCAGATAGCTATACCACTGGGGCTTGCGCGCTTTATAGGCATTATCACCACATGGGATTAGGAGCTCTAATTCTCGGAGAGGAAAAAGCTTCTTTCCCTTCAGTAGGGTTACTAAGATCAAAATAAACAAAAAAAGGATTAGAGGAGAGAAAGCCTAGCCTTCTGACCCTACATATGGTCATGAAGGCATCCTGGCAGTTTTTCTTTACAGTATCTTAGTGTATAGGGCAATAAACCCAACACAGCTCTCTGATCTAGAAGTCAAACCAGGATCCCTAGAGACCTGAAGACTTGTTTTCAAATCTGTCATAATGAAGGTGATGAGGACTCGTTGAAATCTCTAGGCCCTTCTGATGCAACTCATCTGTCTGCTGAGTAAGAAGCAGCACCTGTGAGATGAGGATAGTGCCCCCCAAGGCCTATTTCATTTCACTGTCCATTGGCTACTCCCAGTAGGTAGAGGTCTAGCAAGTGAGGAGGGACTGCAGAGGAGGAAGTAAATAATGGAACAGCCCAAGTGAGCAGTAGGAGGCAAGTTAACTAACATGATTTGTTCTTGTGCTTTGCATCCCATTCAGCTCAAGCATTGATGTTTGTGTGAGTTGTGGGGGACAGGCTATTAAGCCTCAGGAACTATTGGGTCAAATGAATCAGAATAGGGATTGTTACCCATATTTAGCAAAGAGAATGAAAGAAACCAAGGTAATCTCTGCTACCTGGGTGCTATGGAGTTTAGCCCAACATGCCAAATTCTGGACACCTCATGAAATGTGTGGGAGTTAGGAGTGCCACTCCTTTCTCATCTTCTCGGTGGCTACTTTTTTTCTCATCTGGAAATTGGGGATTATTAGCCCTAGACATAGTTAAGTAGCCAAGTGATGACTGTCAGGCCCAGATCAGTAAGCAGAAAGGTCTCTGGGGAAGTTTCATGTTGGAAATGGAGACCCTTCTTCCTAAATACTTCACACTGGAAAGAGATTTAGGTTTGATAGGTTATCTTGTCTTCTTCTTCAACCTCTCTAACAAATTGAAGTGAACTTGGGAGGGGGAGGGAACCAGTCTTTTAATGTTCCAGCCAAGCAGCTGACCTAGTTATTTAGTTGTTGCAGGTGGTGGTGGGGAAGTTTACATCCATTGGTATAGTCTGCCAGGTGGAGGTTGGTGTTTCTGGTGTCTGTGTGCCTGTCAGACTGAGAGTGTGTCAACTCCACTGAATTAGTCTCTGCTTTTCCTTTGGAAAGGAGTCCTCCAGAACAGTTTTCAGTTGGCCTCTCAGTGACATGGCACATGCAGAGGGTCCATTCTCTCTCAGGCTGCTGTGTAGCAAGCAGGACCTGCAGTTTTGCTCATATTTTGTTAACACCGGAGCTCACGGTGCTCTTCAGGTGTGCGGGTTATGCTCTAAACTCCTGGTAGCACTGAAATGCTGAACTAGCAGAAGGCAAACTGTAGGAGCATTTGATGGGAACAGGCAGAAATCCTAAGTGTACTTCCTTGGGGACAAGTATAAAGCAGGAGATTTAGGTGACAGTGATCCAGACTATTTAGAATTGGTTTCTAAGCTAACTATCCCTTCCGTTTATGACCCAGGAAAGATCTATAAGTTGTTGGAGACTGTTCCTGACGTAATTAGCTCAGGGTACTGCTGGAGCCAAAAAGTTCAATCAAATGATGAGCACATTTCTGGACAGAAGAGCAAACAAACCAGCACATCACTCCCACTGCAGAACTGATTTGTCTGTATATGGACAGTATCTTCTGTGTTTCTTGTTGCCATAGCTTGAGAAAGACATGACAGAACTAGAGAAGAGTATCATAGGTTTGATATAAAAATTCGTGTTCTCCAGGTTGGAGAGCAAAGTTAAAAATATGACAGTTGAAGTCTATAATATTGTAAAGAGTGAATGTGAATTTGTACTCCAGAATTGTCAGAAGAGTAGACTTCTTTTAAAGCTGGAATGGAATGATCAAAAGCAAGTGCCCTTTAGCACAATGCAGAGTAAGCTTAAGGAATTTGTTACTGTATCTAAGTGGTAGTCCTCGCATAGGTAATTGGGGATCAGGAATAGCTTAGGTAAATGCATAGAAGATAGGTCTATTGTGTCATTAAAGAAGATAAGAAGTGCTTTGGAGGGCTTCCCTCAACACTGAGGGAACATCATTGAGAAGAGCATGGACCCTGGCTGGGAGATGGGGCTGACCTGATGTGGCAGTTCTTAAGTCCTTTTAACAATAAACCGTGGCGTGCTGCTGACTTATTTTTTGAAATTATTTTATTTTCATCCTTATAGCAACCCTGTGATTTAGGCCAGGTAGGTCTTATTCCTTTTTCACAGGATCACAGAATCTGGTTGAGAAGAAACCTTAGAGGCCTTCTGTACCAAAAATTTTCATCTCTAGTTTTCATCTCTAGCTAAAATGTGTTGCAGAAATGTATATAGTACTCTATAGTACGCTAGTTGTGGTTTGACCAGGGAAGAGTACCTGTACTCTTCAGTATAGCCACTTCAGTATAGCCAAAGAAAACATTAACTTTTTTTATTGTTCTAACTCCCTGTTGACCCCTTTTGAATTTATAGGGTGGTAAAACTTCCAGATCTTTCAGAATGACTATTGTCTAGTAGCACTTACTCCAATACTAGTAAAGTTTTGGGTTTTTTTCTAGCTTTGTATTACCCATTATTATTCATAAAGCTTTTGGTAATACAGTATAGTAATTTCCTGAGAACATTGTGTCTTGTTCAACAGCAGAGGGTGCTTTTGTGTTACTGTAAAAATGGGTTAAATATTCTCAAGAGGGATCAGAGTGAGGAGGCTAATGGCATTTTGGAGAATATTCAAACTTTATGGATGAGCAAAAGACACGTTGTCAGACTTGCTTCAAGTTGTAGAAACTCCAAATGATGGAACTTGAATCTAAGGCTGACCCATTCAGAATAATTAATTCTTCTGCTCTAAACAAAGTATCAAATGTGCTAAGCCACCTCCTGGTGAAGATGCCATACCTGCTTCCTAGATTTTTGCTTAGGGGAGGGAGTGGTGGTGAGGATGAATAAACTGAGTTCAATCTAAGAATCTGAGGTGGGCTAGGCATTGCTTTTGTCTATGCATTGAGACAGTATGTATCCAGATTGGACTAATTTCTCAAACTTTTCCTTCAAAGTTGTAATTTCAGGCTTGTGAACTAAATTTTACAAAGGAGCTCTTCTTCCATCTCACCGACCCAGTAATAGCTTTAATTTTCCTTGGGTGAAGGTGAAGACCCCAGAAGAGATTTGGCAAATGCCTTGGATCTCTGGGAAAGAGGGAAGAAGAGAGAACAGGAAGGGGTGGAGTGGGATGCAAAATTGAAGTAGGTGTACTTTGGTACCCTTCCCCCTTCAGAGTCCTCTGGCTGACCCAAAGTCCCTCACTTCACCCCTCACCCTAATGTGCCTGTTTGCCTTTTCTTCAGGACTTCATGCATCAGAATTGTTTGATGTACCTTTTTACTCCCAAGTCCCACTTCTTTCACAACATTCATAGTAGTAGGTGTTTAGGCAATCTGATTAAATTGTAGGAAATCTGCAGGCCTTTAAAAGTTATTATTTTGGATAATCACAGGTTCAAGTATTATCTTCCCGGTAGCATGATTATGAATTATTATGTGGTTTTTCTGCTCTTATATTCAATACAATCCTGTATGTAGCATTATTATTTTGTTTTTAATGTCTTAATGAAAAGATAATTGTTTATACTGCTCCAGAAGCTTTTTAGGTGAGGGATTTTCTTATACTGTTCACCATATTCATTTGGAAAGTATCTTGCTGAGCCTTCTATGTGCAAGGCCTTGTGCTGGGTGTGGTGGGGAATGCAGAGGTGAATAGGATGAAATCCCTGCCCTTGTGGCATATCAAGCACTTATATACATTCTGCACGAGCTTACAAGGAGATTTAGGATTCAAGCCCTTGCTTTTGGAAAGCTTGCTTAATAGGAGGGAATTTCAATCCAAATTCCTTTACTACAAGGCAGAATGTTAAAGGGCAGTAAGAGAAGCCACATGTTATCTTGGTTCACAGGACAGAGAGGCCACTTCCAATTGGGTTCTGAGAAGCACGTGTGGAGGAGGAGGATAAGTAGGGATTGGGCAGCCAGGTTTGTGGAACCTGCCTGGGGAGGAGGGAAATAATTCCATCAAGCTCCTCATACCACTGTCTCACCACTACCTGGGAGGACATCTCCCCCGCCCCCCCCCCGAAATTTAATCCTTGGTGTTGTTGATAACCTGCATGAACTTTTTTTTTTAATGATTATCAGACTCTCATGCTGTCATACGCTTCAGTGATTCTGAACTCACAGTTACTATTCAAACTTCATTCTGTCCCACATTACTCAGTCCCTTATTCCCATCACCCCTCAGCCCAACTCCTGTCATGTACCACTGTGAATCTAGCCGTCTCTTTCACTGTGCCCTTCAGAATGCCTGCCCCATAGGTAACAAATTTGTTTTCTGATCAATCTACTATGCTGCTCACTAAAGATGATTTTCCAAATTTTTTTCTCTCCCCTCAAACCTGCCATAAGTCTCTTCTACTCCTTCCCCTCACCTGAGAACCTAGCCTAATATTTCACTGAAAAAAAAAATCGAGGCCATTTGGTGAGAGTTTACCAGTCCCTGTGTGCATCCTTAGCTGGCCTCGTGACAGTTGGATTCAGAGGTGTCTGGGGTTGATGAATTTGTAAAGGGACCCAGTTCCCGCTGCCATCTTGGTTGTAAGTTGGTATTGTCCACGACTTCCACAGGCCACTCAAAATCAGCCTGCAGTTCTCAGAAGATGTTCTCCAGGGACAGTTATGTGGGCTGCTTCATTTCTTAGGACTCCAGGGACCTAGGGAGTGGCGAGACAGGTTCATATTTTCTTGTGCATGTGAATGTCCTGCCAGTGGTTTGTAAGTTATCAATAAACTCCATAGGTTATATTAAAGCTGTGTGAGACAAGCCAATTTCTTGAAGTACTAGCCTAGACTAAGGAGGGACAGGAAAATGGTAGTCAAAGCTTCCCTTTAGCTACTGGGTATTATCATTGGATGGAGTCTGGCTTTTGTTTGCCCAGGCATACTTTCTCACCCCAGCTCTCCAACTGGTTTAACCTTTTTGTTTGTTTGTTTTTTTGCTAGGCAATGGGGTTAAGTGACTTGCCCAGGGTCACACAGCTAGTAAGTGTTATGTCTGAAGTCGGATTTGAACTCAGGTCCTCCTGAATCCAAGGCTGGTGCTATATCCACTGCACCACCTAGCTGCCCCTGTTTTAACCTTTTGATCAACTTAATATATCTTCCTTATTAGACTTAAGTTTCTTGTGAGCTGGAACTATACATTTTTCATTTTTTTTAATCCATAAGTTCTAAAACCACCAGCCTTAGAAAAGTTGTAATGTCTCATTATAGTATGGAGGTGACCAGAACCATAACTAACAGAATCAGTCAATAAAGATATTAAGTGCCTACTATGTGTCAGCCACTGTACTAGGCAATGGGAATACAAAACAACAACAACAAAACCAAACCAAACCATAAGACAGTCACTGCCCTCAAGGAGTTCACAAACCAATGGGTGAAAACAACACATAAAAAACTGGAAGGTGGGAAGTGTGGGTGGTTGGGGGGTGGGGTGGGGGGGAATTATCTGAGGAGGCATAAGTTTCAGAGTTAATTTCATCTTGCAGAATGATGAGTTTCTGGAGATCATGAAATCACCAGGAGAGTAACCTGGTGGAAAATGAGAAAGTGAATGTCCTGGGTGGCTTCAAACTGAGGATCTGGAAGGATCTCCATGCTTTTTACCTTTCCACCTTCTTCAATCAAAGGGAGGGAGGGACCCCAGAGGCAGGTGGTACTAAGAAGGCTTGGGTTTCAGAGTTGATTTTATCTTGCAGAATGATGACTTCACAAAACGAAAGGGGACTTTTCCCCAGGGCTCCAACATCATCCAGGGCAATATGCTTCTCCTAGAGGGGGTTTCTTTCTCATGGTGACCATTGTTTCTGTTCCTCACTTTGGAGTCCTTCACTAGCCCATGCTACCTCACAAGTACCATCTTAGGGATCATCTCACTATAATGGCTTTCTTCAATGTCCACCTTTTCCTCCAAAGCTCCTACAGGGATGAGAGCCAGACTTCAGCCTGTTGGCATAATTGCACCTCCTCCGTGTCTCCATATATTTTTGCCTTAAAGTGGAAGGAAAAAAAAAAGCTAAGAAAATAAGGTCTGAAAGATTCTACTCTGCTGAAAAGGCTCTAATTAAGGTCCTATCTACAAATTGTGCCTGCGGGAGACCAGCCAAGATGGTGGAGTAGAAGGACGTAATATAGTTGAGCAGTCCCCTACAACTCCACAAAAATTTAGAAAGTGCGCCAGAATAAGTCCTGATGGGGAAAAACAAGAAAAAAATTGCAGTGCATATTTTTTTCACAGCTGCCCCATGTAGCCTAGGGAGACACAAAAATTTGTGGACATTGGGAGTGGGGTTTATCTAGGAGTAGCCACATAGTCTTCCAGAAGGGGATTTGAACAAAGTCCTGAATGCAGTTGTGCACAAGGGCCAGAGGAGTATTTATCTGGTACAGAAGGGTCTGCCTTTATTCAGGGAGCAGGAAGAGGTGCCAGTTGGCAGCTCTATCATGGATTACCCAGTGCTGGATCACAGATCCTGTGCAGATTGAGGTGAGGACCTGCACCTAGGTCCAGGGAAAAGAATGGTTGAGGACCTTAGGCTATAGCCAAGTAACCAAGACAGGAAAAGGAATACGCTACAGGAGAAAAAGACAGAGGAAAGATGGGGAAAACTATCCTATGTAATTAGGGTGTACAAGTAAAAGTCCATACAAATGAGGGAAGGGTGGGGGAAGCAGGCAACGCAAATCTCATTTTTGTCTAAACTGATCAGAGGAGAGAAGAATACACACACACTTGTGGGTATAGAAAAACATTTCACTCAACAGAGAAATAGAGAAAGAGGGAAATAGAGGGGTGCAATAAGAAGGAGAATAAATTAAGAGAAAAATTATTACTAAGTAAAGTAAGTTCTAATCATGGAGGGTGATTATAGAAGAGGGGTTTAAAATAAAAGAAAGGGTAAGAACCCATGATTAAACTCCAGGCAAAGAATCAATGCAGTGAACTACCATGATTTCAGAAGACAAATGATGAAGTGTGCTATTTGCTTCCTGACAAAGAGGTGAAGGACTGGGGATATAGAATGAGTTATACATTTTTACATGGATAATATGGGAATTTCCTTTCCTTGACTGCATATTTTTTGATAGGGTTTTTTTTTCTTCAAAGACTGTGGGGGGTGGGGATGGAAAATAAATACTTGTTAATTGAAAAAGAAATAAAAATGTAAAAATTCTGCGTCTGCTATCTAACAAATAGCCTATAAATACATATAGAAGCTTGTGACTAATAGGATTGTTACTAGATAAGATATTTCTTAGCCATGAAAAGTCATGAAAGAAAGAAAAATACAAAATGGCCCTCAGAGTCTGATGTGATTCCTATTTTTTTTTCTGTGTTAGCAGCAGAGTTGCAAAAAAAGAGGTCACAATTTCACTATTTTTCATTTTTCTGTAAAACTAACTTAGCTGTTAGCAGTAAGCATGAGATTCTTGTTCAATAATCAATGAGTTGACATTACTGGATGAATTAAATCATATAAAAATTAACATTCCTGATATAAATGAAACTAGAGCACAAAAGCAAGTTGCCTCTAAATGGAAGGGTGGATCATAGGCTGGCTCTTCCTGGAAAAGTAAACAAAGAAATCACTCTCATTTTAACTCTGCATGAGTTTCCATGTTCAAAGTGTGTCTTTCTTAAAAAAAAATACATATTTATTTATTTTTAATATCCATTTAAAAAATTTTAATTTCCAAATTCCCTCTCCCTAGCCCCTCCCCCACCTATTGAGAAGGCAAGCAATATAATATCAATAATACATTGAAATCATTCAAAACATTTCCGTCTTAGGTTACAAAAAAAAGCATGAAAAATAAAGTGAAAAAAGTGTTCTTTGATCTGTACTCAGAATTCAACAGTTCTTTCTCTGAAAGTGGATGGCATTTTTCATCATAGGTCCCTCAAAATTTTCTTGGATCATTGTATCGATTAGAGTAGCTAAGTCTTTCACGATTGATCATCATTACAATGTTATGATTACTGTGTATAATGTTCTGCTCACTTCCCTTTGCATCAGTTCATGTGTCTTTCCTGGTTTTTCTGAAAGCATCCTGTACATCATTTCTTATGGCACAACAGTATTCCATCACAATCATATACTGCATCTTTTCTGCCATTCCCCCATTGACATGCATCCACTCAATTTCCAATTCTTTGTCACCACAAAAAGAGCTGCTTATATTTTCAGACATATAGGTCCTTTTCCTTTTATCTCTTTGGGATAAAGATCCAATAGTATTGCTGGGTCAAAGGATATGCACAGTTTTATGTCCCTTTGGGCACAGTTCCAAATTGTTCTCCAGAATTGTTGGAGCAGTCCATAACTCCATTAACAGTGTATTAGTGTCCTTATTTTTTCACACCCCCTCCATCATTTGTCTGTTTCCTTTTTAATCATGTTAGTCAATCTTATAGATATGAGGCAGTACCTCAGAGTAGTTTTAATGTGCTTTTCTCTAATCAGTGGTAATTTAGAACATTTTTCATGTGATTATTGAGAGGTTTGATTTCTTTTTCTGAAAACTGTTTACATCCTTTTACCATTTATCAGTTGGGCAATGGCTCTTATTTATAGAATTGGTGTAAAAGTTTCCCTAATAGTTTCCTGCTTTCCTTCTCATTTTGGCTACATTGGTTTTGTTTGTGCAAAAGTTTTTTAATTTTATATAATCAAAATTATCAATTTTACTTCCTCTGATCTTTTCTGTCTCTTGTTTGGTTATAAACTCTTCCTTTATCCATAGATCTGACAGGTAAAATTTTCCATGCTCCCCTTATTTGCTTATGTTATTACTCTTTATCTTTGAATTACGTATCCATTTTGACCTAATCTTGGTATATGGTGTGAGATACTGGTCTATGCCTTGTTTTTGCGAAACTCCTTTCCAGTTTTCCCAGCAATTTTTGTCAAATGTTGAATTCTTGTCCCAAAAGCTTGGATCTTTGGGCTTATCAAACACTAGTTTATGATGGTCTTTTAGTATTGTTGTGTTCCTAGTCTATTCCACTGATCCACTACTCTTTTTTTTCTCAGTCAGTACCAGATTGTTTTGATGATTACTGCTTTGGAATATAGTTTGAAATCTGGTACTACTAGGCTGCCTTCCTTCACGTTTTTTCCCCATTGATTCCCTTGATATTTTTTACTTTTTGTCTTCCAGATGAATTTTATTATTTTTTTTAACTCTATGAAATAATTCTTTGGTAATTTGATTGACATGGTACTAATAAATAAATTGATTTAGGCAGAATTGTTATTTTTGCTATCTTGGCTTGGTCTACCCATCAGCAATTAATATTTTTCCATTTGTTTAGATCTGTCTTTATTCATGTGAAAAGTGTTTTATAATTGTGTTCATATAGTCCCTGGGTTTTTAAGTATTTTATATTGTTTGCAGTAATTTTTAAATGGAATTTTTCTTTCTGTCTTTTCCTGCTGAGTTTTATTGGTAACATATAGAAATGCTGATGATTTATGTAGGTTTATTTTATATCCTGCAGCTTTGCTAAAGTTGTTAATTGTTTCAACTAGATTTTTAGTTGATTCTTTAGGGTTCTGTAAGTATGATTTCATATTATCTGCAAAGAGCAGTAGTTTTGTTTCCTCATTGCCTATTCTTATTTCTTCAATTTCTTTTTCTTGTCTTATTGCTATGGCTAGCATCTCTAATACAATATTGAATAGTAGTGGCAATATTGGACATCTTCACCCCTGATCTTATTGGGAAGGCTTCTAGTTTAATCTTATTACAGATAATGCTTACTTAGGTTTTAGATAGAAACTACTTATCTTTTAAAGAAAAGCTCCTTCTGAAAATGACAAATGTTGAAGGGAATGTGGGAAAATTGGGACACTAATGCATTGTTGGTGGAGTTGTGAATTGCTCCAATCATTCTAGAGAACAATTTGGAGCTATGTCCAAATGGCTATAAAACTTTAAATACCCTTTGACCCAGCAATACCACTACTAAGTCTGTATCCCAAAGAGATTTAAATAAAGGTGGGGGCAGGGAAGGAACTCTATGTCCAAAAATATTTATAGCCGCTCTTTTTGTGGTGACAAAGAATTGGAAATTGAGGGGATGCCTATCAATTGGGGAATGGCTGAATGAGTTATGATATATAATTGTGATGGAATACTATTGTGATATAAGAAATAATGAGCAGGATGCTTTCAGAAAAACCTGGAAAGATTTACATGAACTGATGCAAACTGAAGTGAGCAGAACCAGGAGAACATTATACACAGTAATTGTAATATTGTAATGATGATCAATTGTGAAAGTTTTAGCTACTCTAATCATTATAATAATCCAAGACAATTCTGAAAGCCCAATGATGAAAAATACTATTCACCTCCAGAGAAATAACTCATTTAGTCTGAATGCAGATTGAAGCAAAATGTTTTTTTTTTCTTAACTTTCTTTTTCTTTCTTTTTTTGGTTTGTGGTTTTTTTTTTTTACAACATGACTAATATGGAAATATGTTTTGCATGACTGCACATGTATAAACTTTATCAAATTGCTTGCCTACTATAATGGGGAGGGGAGAGAGGTTGAGAGAGAATTTGGAACTCAAAATTGAAAAAAAAGTTAAAAATAATTTTTATATATAATTGGAAAAATATGAAAATTTAGAAGAAAAAATTTTAAAATAAAATAAAAAGAAATAAATTTAAGAAGAAAAGAAGAAAACCTTTTATTACTACATTTTAAAGTGTTTTTAATAGGAATTGTGGTTGTTTTGTCAAAAGTCTTTTCTTCATCTATTGTTTTAATCAAATTATTTTTGTTGTTTTTGTTATTGATATGATCAGTTACATTTATAGTTTCATAATATTAAACTAGCCCTACATTCCTGATATAAATCCCACCTCGTCATAGTGTGTGATCCTTGTGATATATTGCTACACTTTCCTTGCTAGTATCTTATTTAAAGTTTTTGTATCAATATTTATTAGGTAAATTGGCTTATAGTTTTCTTTCTATTTTTTTCTTTCCATGATTTAGGTATCAAGACCATGTTTGTGTCATAAGAGAAACTTGGTAGGATTCCTTCTTTGCCTGTTTAAAAAAATATTTTATGTGGCATTGGAATGAATTATTCCTTGAATGTTTGGAAGTATTCATGTGTAAACACATCTGATTTTTTTTTAGGGAACTCATTTGTGACTTGTTCAATTTCTTTTTCTAAGATAGGGTTATTTAAATATTATATTTCTTCTTTTGTTAATCTGGGTAATTTATGTTTTTGTAAATATTCATCCATTTTATTTAGATTTTTGGTTTTACTGGCATATAATTAGGAAAATAGCTCCTAATAATTGCTTTAATTTCATCTTCATTGGTGATATATTCACCCTTTTCATTTTTGATACTTGTAATTTGGATTTCTTTTTTTTATTTTAATCAAATTAACCAATGGTTTATTTGTTTTATTTTTTCCCCATAAAACCAGCTCCTAGTTTTATTTATTAGTTTGTTTTTTTTTTAACTTTCAATTTTATTTCTCTCCTCTTTGATTTTCAGGATTTCCAATTTGGTGTTTAAATTGCTGATCAGCATGGAAGCTTTGACCTGTTCTATTTCTGACCTAGACTAGTTCTGTACTTTTTGGGCAACCAATTTGCCCCCTGTTCCTTTGGGGTGAGGGTGGGGTGGTTCTTGTTCTTTTTCTAATTATTTAGTTACATGTTCAATTTATTGGTCTGCTCTTTCTCTCTTTTATTGGTGTAAATATTTAAAAGTATGAATTTCCCTCTAAATATTGCATTGGCTGCA